AATTCTTCTGTTGACCACTCCCCATTCACCGCCTTTTTGGTTTTCCCTCTCCTGAATTTTACCCCCCACTGACCCTAACACGTTTGACCCCTCAAAACAGCAAAAATAAATAAAGAAACAGAAGGGCCACTTCGAAAAATCATCCGTGTAAAGAATAAAGTGATAGCAAATGCATGGAAAAAAAATCAGATCCTATCTAAGAGCACTATAAAAATGGCACGTACGAGCCACAAATATGTGTGTGTGTGTGTATTTCAACCATTTTATTTTTCCCATATATATACAGTGTGTTATGCTTGCCATTCTACATATCTACACATTAATCCCCTTTACTTGATTCCATGATCGATGCATCGGATCCAATATCTTGCACAGTGTTTCATCTTTATGCCCCTTTTCTCCCTGAGATATTCCCTATATGCTCGCTTCGATATGATGCTTTCCATCAACTTTTCCTCTTTCGTTTTAATGTGCATGTCTCGATTCCATTATTTCTCCCCTCTAGGTAGTGTTACCTCACATGTTTAAACTCAAACACTCTGAGATATATTTACAGTTATTTTATACGGTGTGTGTGTGTATTATATGAATGGAAAAGCAGGATTAGAGAAATTAAAGTAAAGGTGAAAACGATGACTATGTTGCCGCCATCAACTTTATATTTTGTATTTTAGTTAAGTGATTAATTAATTAATGCCATCATTAATTATAATATCTTGCTATCATAGCCACTATGGAAATCACTAACACTATCATTGCTGGTATTCATTATAACAATCACTTGCAAATCACATACGATTGGTGTAGTCACACCACCTATTGTAATTATTATTCTCAACGAATTTAAAATTAATTTCCGAAAGAGAGATCCTTAAATAATTATTTGTAGGAGATCGAAAGAGCCAAAATGGGTTGCTTTTCTCGCTTTTATGATTAATAATCTAGTTTGGATCATCGCATATGTCTCTTTAATTTCAAAGCGAAGGTTAACATTCTTGATTTTTGTTTGAAATCTTGAATCTTCTTTTAATTTAAATTTTAAAATGCGTTTTAAATGGTTTCCTACGTGATATTTTGATCCGTTTCATGGATTCTATAAATCATCTAATTTGTCAAGTCAGATTCAAATCTTATTAAGATATGTCGCACATGGTTGATAAATGATAACTCTCGGGTTTAATATTTAAAATACTGAACCGAGATATAATAAATTAGCTTGATAATATATAGAGAAAAGTTGTGAAAAAATTAATAAAATTTTGTAGCAACTTGCATTAAATTGATAGAGAGAAGATTATTTCAATAGCAATTTGAGAGATCGATTTGACTTAAAGCTGATTGATTAAACAAACCAACAAACAAAAATTTTGGCAACTGATTAATCAATAAATAAAACAAAATTGTACAATTCAGTCAAGGGAGAAATTTTTTGCAGGAGTTGAAGCCTTGCGGGAAAAAAAAAAAACTTCTTCGCCCTAAATTATAAAATATTTTTTTAAAAAAATTCAATATCTTAAAATATAAGATACTTTAATAAAATTAAAATTTTATTAATGATATTTTTTAATATTACTCTTTCTATACATTTTTTCTCTCTAATATTTTTTATTGATAGAGTATTAAATGAAGGATATTTTTAAAATTTTATATTTTTATTTAAAAAAATTATAAAATATATTTAATAAATTTTATTGATATATAAAATTTTATTTAAAAATATTTTATAATTTAAAACGGAAGAGCATTAAAGTTGACTTAAGAGGAGAGAAGATAGAAGAATTTGCGATGCTGGTGTGTTGCTTATTGATTGGGCTTCTCTATGCTCCATTGGATAGGATATATACATACGTGGACCCTTTTAACTTATTCGACACCGCATTCAATAATTCTGAAACTCCCCACAGCCAGAAACTCGATCTTGTATCATTATATATTTTATATCTCATATTATATTACAAATACATACAAAAACTGAAAAACCTTATACAATTAGAAATCGCAGCTCTTAGCCTTCAGTACGAGCATTTAAAAAAAGAAAACAAACACTTAAAAAAAACTTGACACTATAGAGTGCCAAATTTTAATTGACAGTGGGAAGGTTCAAAAGGTGAGGATAGTGGAAAGAAGAGAAAGGGAAGGAGAGTGAAGTCACGCGGCAACAGGGGAAGTGGGAAAATGAGGAGGCAGAAAGTATTTTTACAGATATACCCTTGTTGGATTCACTGGGCTCTACTTTTCATGAAAGTCCGGAGTAGTAGCGGCAGGCAAAAAGCTTTCAAAGAAAGTGATGTAACCCCCCTCCCCTTTGTGTGTGTGTGTGTGTGTTAATTTTCTGCTCGTCAAAAAAATTCCACTTCGAATAACTTCCTCTTCTTGAATGAATTTACTTCTTGTTTCGACCTTCTAATCTCTGTTTTCTTGTGACTTGGCTTACTTTCCCAAAAAGTTAGATCAAAATTTCAGCCCCAGCATCTTATGGAATAACACTTTAATTTAATTTTCTAGCATATTCTATTTACAATAAAATTTCTCCCTGTTGCTTATTAATGATCTATGATGAATATTACACGTTAGGCCCCAGGACAAGGTTCGTTTTAGTCATAAAGAATTCCATTTAACGAGAACGCACTAAAATGACAGATTTGGAGGATATAAATTCAAGTGCCGCATAGCTACCCACCTACATAAAAAAAAAAAAGAAATACACACACACATATATATAAGCGAATTTGATCCTGTCATCAAGATTGGGACATGTCTTTGGATTCATAGAGTGTTTTATATAGATATTTTTAGATCATACATAGCAAAATTCTCACTTTAGCAGCAAGTTGTAAAATCACAATCTATAGGTCAAATTCTAGTCAACTAAACCAATTTTAATTGCCATGAATATGTCATTAGTTAATACTGTTACATGGAGTAGTACTTTGATATTTATATTTATACTTTTGGGGAGGGAGAAAAGCGAGTAAATGGTGGGGAATCAGAGTCCTCAGAGTGTATGACAGGAAACACCAAACACAAATGCCAATTTTTCTTTTCCTACTGTCACTGTCTTTCATCTCTCCCCACAAATCCTTATTATCACTATCCTCTCTCTCTCCAAACTTTTGTAAATATCTTGATACATTATCAAGGGGGGCAAGTTCAGACTCATACCCTCTCTTCAATCTGGTCATAACAACGGAACCCGTAAAAACAAGATGACGTAGCAAGCATTCTGAAACTACATATGATGGATCTCTGTAAAGAAGAGAACTTAAATGAACTTGAATGCGTGGGACCGAACATGAATTGTCGAATATGAAGGAAACGGAGGAAATTGCAGAAAATTACTGATATGTAGAAGGGGAGGGTAAGCTGTCTTGTTCAATATGACATGCATAAAAGTAGCAAGAGCATGTGGTCTTAAGAAAAGGCAGCAACGCTTAATATCTCTGTCTGGTCCACTTTGCCCTATACTCCACGGGAAACACTCTCTCTCTCTCTAACTCTTCCCATTTCCTTTTATCGTCTTGCTCTCTTCTGCCTGCGTGCTTATCTATACTCTAACTCATCTTCACTAATTACTTCCCTTATTTGCTAATAACGAAGCGAGTCTGATTAAATTTGATTCAATCAGGTTCCATCGACCCGGCCTCGTCTGTTTAATTCACCAGGGAACTGTTTTTACTTGTTCGTTCTCATGATTGAACAGGCACGAGATTTAAAAAAGATTAATGGGCATGAATGAAATAAATCAAATGGGTGATGAGGTGCACGTAGAAAGGCGTTTTAATTGGGGGGAATATTTTAATCGGTACTCTGGGTCCGGGTCAAACAAAGGGGAATTACGTGACGACAAATTACAGTTAAAAGAAGAAAGGTAGAATCTATACATTGCATGGGGTTAATTGGATTTTGCGTTGAATAATGATGATGGCGTTGTTTACTTTGCCTACAGGTAATTGACGGATTATGAGCCACCAATGGATCCAAAATAGTTGCTGAACTTACATATATTTTCTATTTGATTTTTGTCCTCATTCATTGGTTACTTCTGCGTCTCTGCATGTGATAACAACGGGACCAAAACCTACTACTCCGCCATTTAACACGAACCAAAAAGTACGACCCCGACGTTTTCACTCTTCCATCCATGAATTTCGATTAGGGTGGTGATACGGCACAAATTTAAGCCCGTGTCGCTAATTAAACTTAGCTCTTCATAAATGCCAGAGAAAACGACTCCTCCTGGACTCTGGCTCGCATGACCGTCAAAGAATAATAGAGTACAGTCGTAATTATAAACCAAATCAAAGTGCTCTCAGATTATGATGATATAACAAAGATGATCATAATAATAGTAATAATAATAATTAGCCTCACTGTGGAATTTTACGAACTATTTCAATCAGTTTGGTGGTGGTCCTAATCCCTTCACATAACCCACGGTAATACGAGTGAGTGCGAAATTCCCCATATTCTTATATATTCACATCTTTCTGTCCCTTCTTTTCCTGGAAGCCCTTCAAATCCTTGCCAGTCTCTCCGTCAGAGAGATTAAAAACTGCCTTGCTGCAACATCGATCTTCATCTATTAATCCTCCCCGCCAGGCTCATTAACAACACGACTACTTTTAATTTGAATCCACATGCATGTCGGTTACATAATGTGAGCTTAAAACTTCAGAGGAGGAGGAGGAGGAGAGGTAGTCCAAGAGTAGGTAGCCCCATGAAAGCCCAAGAGCTGGATCCCCCAGCAAAGGCAAAAGGAAATGATTGCTTGAATGAGATGGGACCCACAGCTGCTCTCTAAATTTTTTTTTTGACTTGGGACTGGGCCCCACCCCATTGTCTTTATGGATTGAATGATATAAAGAGCACCTCACGTGGACTCTGAACCAAAGACGCCTGTCCATCCACCATCAAAAAAGCCAACTCCCAAAAATCACCCATTTTTCTTTTTTCACTCCAAAAATATCAAAAAGCCATCCACACTTCACCCCCAACGCCAGAGCATTTTCCTCTTTCCTTCTAAATAATAAATATATGAATGCTTTTTAAACCTCACCCGTATAATTCCCACTCATTATCCTTGTTGCTTAAAGCTCCTTCCCCTCATCAATTTTGAAGCAAATTAAATCCCTCTGCCTTCTACACAAGAGAGAAACCAAATCACAACCTCCTACTTCCTATACCCACTGCTCATGACAACAGACCCACCATACACTTCCATACAAATTCAACTTTAATCTTATTCCTCTTATGCGATCATGGAAGGTGGTGATGATCTCCACCACCACCACCACCACCACCGTCCCAACTTCCCATTTCAGCTCCTCGAGAAGAAGGAAGATTACCAGGAGGCTGCTTCTTGTTCTACCTCTTCCTCTTACCCTTCTCTAGCCATCGCCGCCGAACCCGCCGCCTCCAATTCCAACCGATCCAACCAGGTCCTCAACGTCGTCCCTCCCACCTCTTCCTCCTCCGAACCCTCCAATAAGAAGCCCCCGCCTAAGAGAACTTCCACCAAGGACCGCCACACCAAGGTCGACGGTCGCGGCCGCCGTATCCGAATGCCGGCCCTGTGTGCCGCTCGCGTTTTCCAGCTCACCCGCGAGCTCGGCCATAAGTCCGACGGGGAGACCATCGAGTGGCTGCTCCAACAGGCCGAGCCCGCGGTCATCGCGGCTACGGGCACTGGAACGATCCCGGCTAATTTCACTTCCCTTAATATCTCTCTGAGAAGCTCCGGCTCCACCATGTCGGTCCCTTCTCAGCTCAGATCGTCTTACTTCAATCCCAACTTCTCCGTTCAGCAGCGGAGGAGCTTCTTCCCCGGAATCGGCTTGTCTTCCGATGGTAATAACACTTCAACGCTTCTGAATTTTCAGTCTAATAGTTTCTCCGGCGGCAGCATGTTGCAAGCAAAGCAGGAATTGCGCGGAGGCGAGGGAGGTGTTCCTTCCTCCTCGACAACAACCTTGGATTTGACGGAAGCGGAAGAAGGCATGGCAAGGAAAAGGCGACCGACGGAGCAAGAGTTGTCGCCGTCTACGTCGGCGCAGCAATATCAAATGGGAAGTTATTTGTTGCAATCGAGCGCTGGTGCGATTTCGACGAGCCACGCGCAGATTCCGGCAAATATATGGATGGTGACGAATTCGAATAATCAAGTCATGAGCGGGGATCCCATATGGACATTCCCTTCGGTGAATAATAGTGCTTTGTATAGAGGCGCTAGCATGTCCAGCGGCTTGCATTTTATGAACTTCCCCACTCCCATGGCCTTGTTGCCCGGTCAACAGTTAGGGTCGTCCGGGATTGGTGGCGGCGGAGCTGGGAATTTAAACGAAGGACATTTGAACATGCTTGCCGGGATCAACCCGTACCGGCAGATGAGTGGTGTTTCGGAGTCTCAGGCGAGTGGGTCTCAATCCCATCATGGTGGTGGTGGAGGCGGCGGCGGCGATGATCGACACGATACCGCCAGTCACCGCTCCTAGAGGATTATGGGATCAATTTGCTGGGGGTAGTAGAGTTTGATGTGTGTTAACACACGTGAGGTTTGATTTGCTCTTCAAAATTGAGTTTTATTTATTCCAAAATTAATTTTTTGGTGTGATTATTATTTTGGAAGAGAATGAAGACGAGAAGAGAGGGTTTTTAGGGTTTGGACGATGAATGAATGACACTCTTTAACAATTGGGTATTTGGCTGCCATTTCTTTCTTCATTTTTTTTTTTGGTTTGGTGATTTATTTCACTACACGATATCTCATCATCATTGTTTGTGCAATCCTCTTTTCTTCCTTTTACTCTGTAATTCTATGCTTTCTCATATATACGTTGAGGTGAAGAAGAAAACGATATCCTGCTGGAAAGTTTCCTAACCGAGAGGCATTGGGTTTTTCACATTCAGCTTTCTTCTTTCGAGTTCTATAAGTTTCTCGGCCACAAATGAAGTGAAACAGCAAGCTAAGCTAGCTGATAAGCAAGGTTAACGCAAGACTGAAAAATGAAGAAAAACAAAGTAGGATTAAAATCAGAGAGTGGGGTTAGTTTAGTTTAATTAGCTTAGGATAAGTGCGATTAATAATTTTTGGCATGAATCTGGAGGTTTACTGCATCAATGATTAGGTTTTAGAGAAAGGATGAAGGAATTAATAGGACGGTGGGGTCGTGACCTTATCGGTTCCAGGTATCGGCTCAGGTGGTGGGGTCTGGCTGCTGGTTATTGCCCAAACCAATGTACAATTGTCACTGACAAACAGGTGGATCATTCTCTCTTTCTTTAAAAAAAGAAAATTGGGTTTTTTTTTTTTTTTTGGGGCCTCCTTTCTCTTTTTTTCTTTGATGAACCAGTTGCTGGCATCACAGAAAGATCCACGGAGAGTCTTAATGACCCTACTGGCCTATGGCCCACCTTTTCCATCAATCACAACCGTTCATCCGGTGGGCCATCTCACTGAATGATTGGGTCTCAGCTTAGACTCGAGTTTCATGGTCTTCCTTTCTTAACCCCCCCCTTGGAGCACGTTTCTAAAGACTCGCGATTATCCAACTTGCTACCCAGCTGGCAAATGAGGCTTAATTCCCTTTGCCAGATGATATACGGTTTTTTCTTTCTTAGATTATCATGCTTTGGAATCTAATAATATACCCTCTTGAATAATATATATAGATGTGTATAAATAAAGGAACACTGAGGATCGATGCAATGAATTGAAAATTAGGAGCTAGGGAAAAGCAGGTTAGGATATTCGGTTCCACTATGATTAGTGTCTGCACAATTTGATTCAAAGATAGCTTTATCTCTATGGAGAGATGGATGCCATCAATAATATGAGTGGAAAGCAACCATGAAAATGTGCTTCTTAAATCATCATCAAGCCTATCTAATCTGTTACTTGATGAGAATATGGTCAATTGAATAAGGTACCTCTGTGAGGTTCCAATTATGGGCACTTAACGGGGAGCTGATTATGACCCTTGCTCCCACCTATCTAGCCCTACCTAAGAAATAGCCCTTTCACTGACATAAGATTCTACAAAAAAATATAGTATAGATCGCAACAAGACTATATGTTCTTCTCTGAAGTTGATTTATATCAGTAGTGATCTGATAAGATTAATGAATCAATACAAAATTCCTGACATGCATATCCACACAGAAGCGATTCCCAAATTACAGGCTAGCTACTATGCTGTGCATGCATGATGAGTTTGAAATATTTAGAAACAGGTAGAACGTTGTTGTTAGTTAATTTACCCCTCAAGCACTTGGTGCTTCAACTATATATCTGGTTACATTAAGTTCTAATTAAACAAATCACGCTTCGGAGTTTGCAGTTGTTCTCGAACATATTGGGTTTTCAAGTATTTTCTTTTCTTTTTCTGAAAGCATATGAATAATTAACCTTGTACGATATTACGTTTCACCAATCTTTGGGTTTACGAGAGAAAGATCAGAGGCATTGCAATTCCGCATGCTCGATGAAGTCTCATTCATACAGAAGAGAGAGAAGGTAATTAATATATGCAAAAATTATTTAGTAATGTACCTAGACGAGGCGAGATTTATAAAATTTATAAAACTAATAAACAACCTGGTTGAAGCCATACATCAGGGTCATCAGAGAGAAGTTTATTTGCTCCATCTTTAATACGAGGTAAAACCAATCTATTAAAGCATTTTTAAAAGTCAGCTGATTGTTTTTGACTATTTCTCTTATCTTTTCCCATTAAGGCACATCATCAACTCGTTCAATGTCCGATTCAAAGAACAACACTGCAGAAGAAATTATTTTTGTTGAGACATCTGCTAATGTGGACGGAACGACTATATATAGATAGTTTGGTACCTTCTTTGAAAAACCAACGTATGTGCTTAGTTTATTATTCTTTAAAAGGTTGTTATATTCAGAATTCATGGTAGGTTTTTTTTTTTTTTTTTGGTATCTTGGAACTTCATCAATAAAAAGAATCTGCGCAACTCAATATATATCTGGTCATGGGAGATGAACGCGCGCGCGCGCGCGCGCACACAACAGATGTAAGTGAGCAGCGAATATCTATCAACATTTCTTATAAGATAAATATCATCATACAGAAGTTCATTTTTTGCACCATAAAACACACCAATTTTTTATTGGCAAAATAGGTACCAAGTCTCAAACACATGCGGCGAATATCAAAGATATATGTAATAACTCGGCCAATAAACAAATCACAAATGTGGTGTTCATCACTTGATAAGCATTTGGACCATTTAGATTTTATAAAATTTATTTTTTTAATTTTTTTTATTTTCATTTAAAAAAATTATAAAATTTAAACATATTTACTTTGTCATCAACCTAAACAATACAGATTTAATTTGAATGGTCCAATTCAATTTTTTTTAAAATTTTTATAACTTAATTATCCATATGTACTTTAGACAGATTGGATTTATAATACATCTGGATAGTTAATTTATAAAATTTTAAATAATAAAGTAGATTTATTAATATTTTATATTTTAATGAATATATAATAAATATAAAAATAAAATTGATAAATCTAGATGGTCCAGATTGATGAGCATCAAAACTGAACGCCACATATATAATAACAATTAGAGAATAACAGCAACAATATAATTAAAAAGTATGCTTTTTTAGTGATGTAGAAAACGCAATCTTAACTACATTACGAAAAAAAAGAAAAATACTCGGATCTTTTGGAGTTTGACTTAATTTGCACGAGATCAAAACCAGAGGGTAAAAAGTAGACATGTCTTTCTTTGTGATAATAATTTTTCTGCGAGATATCCACATGTTTTCGCATTTATTATCAACACCATTGAATGTGTGTGTGTGAAATGTATCCTTACCATGATTGTGTAGGTTGTAGCCAGAAAATGGTTCACGTGGATCGAAATCTAGTAAGTTACAGCACCCACAGGAATGGTCCCCATAAAAAAGGAATCTTGTACATCCTAGAATAGCATGATTAATCAGATCTCTCGTCAAGCTAGCCAGGCCACCAAAAATTTCTGTGGAAGTTGAACAAAGGCAAGCTTGCATTTGTCACGCAATATAAATGCATAATAATTAAGAGGCAACAGATTCTATTAATTTGGCCCATATTATGCCTTAATTCCTGATTTGGGCCCATAAAATCTCTCTTATTTCTGTGGCTATTATGTGGGTTTACGAGAGAATGAAATTATATGATAGGTATAGATAGATGCATCACCATGTGGCTACTTACTGGCGTTTAGCCTCCAGGTTGGTGGTTACGACATAAAGCAATATTAGATGGAGACCCACCAACACATGCTGCTCTAATAATATTTGTGTTTCGTAAGTGTGTGCTATGCAAATGTTTGTTTGCACTTTGCATGGACATGTTGGAAGATCCGAAGTGATATGTATAAAATGGCCCAATTAGAATTTACTGCTTTTAAAAGTATACACTCAGAAACAATTATGATGAAGCTGCTTGAAGAAAGCACACAGCTTCATCAACATTATTCCAAATTCACATCATTTTGAAATCTGACAGTTATTGAGGGCTTTATATATTTTAGATTATCTTATAACGGACTGAGAGTAGGCCAGCTTTAAGCAAGAATCCCATGGCCAAACATTATGTAAAGTGGTATTTGGGGTCTACCCGATCACATGAAATTACCAGACACAGTGTTATTCTGTCCTCAACAGATTGATCATATATTATTAAAGAGAAAATGACTGTACACTGGATATATATATATATATATATATATTATTGCAAGAACTTGAAATTCTGGTCAATCTGATTCACGAACAACAGTATTTCTTCTCCTGTTTTTTTCATTCCTTGTCATCATCTCCTCTACTTTTCTTTTCTGTCAGAAAAAAAGGCAACAAAGACCAGAGATGCATTTTGATCTATGGTTATGGGCGCATCAAACGTAACCATACAGTGAGCGAGGGGGTGTGTGTGTTGTGCGGATGGATCGGATGGGTTAGGCATTGACCTATTTGGGTTCAGCTAGCATGTGGAATAGCCCGTAACTGCTTGACAGGTGAGGAGTTTATAGTAGGGACAATTTATTTGTCTTCGTAGGTTGATCCATGAACAGTTTTCACCTTGCTTGTTACATAGTATTTGGCAAAAAAACAACAGGTTTATATAGGTACGTATAATAACAACGATTAATATGTACGTGCCCTGCGTCCCCAGAGCAATTACTCACAATCTAATTCAATTTTTCTGGCATCCACACACACACAAAGATATGTATAGATACGCTTGAAGAAAGGGCTATACACATCGAGAAATTAAAGGCCTTATCATGATTACAGAATACTTTTTCATACATACTCCTTCTTGAATCTTTTCTCGAGGGCGAGAAGATATGTGTTCACCGTGAGATAGTAATTCTTAACATACAGCTGCCAATTGGAGGCTTGCGGAAAAGTATTTTGCATAGTCAAATATTAATTTGGGAAGGATTTCTAGTGAAATGGCGATGAAAATGTCACTGAAATTAATGAGCGTGGGAAAATGATGTTTGATGTGCGTTTGAACAGGAAAATAATATTTTATATGGCATGAAATTTGGTAGAATATAAATAAGAAATAAATGGAGAATGTGTGAAGGCTTAGATGGCATTGGAACTTGACCGAAGTTTCCAAGAAGCACAGTAACATTCCATTGATAAAATGATGGATTGTTTAATTGTATATGATGTATCTGGAAGAAAATAGGCTAGCATGCATATCAAATAAATTTTCGTTCAAATAACATTACTCTTGTCTCTTCCCCTTTCCTTTGGTCATGTTTTCATGATGAGTGTCCAAAGGTCAAATTACGTTTTAAAACTTATTTATTAAATTTGTAACTCGGTCTTAATAGTTGAAAATAAAATATTATTGTAAGAAAAACGAAGAGTCCATCTAGAAGATGTTAGAAAGGCAATTTGAAGTCAAAGCTTTCATTCTTATTTTTCTCAAATCTTTGTTTTTAAATTATCGACAAAAAACTATCTTTAGTTTCTAATAAAACATTCATATTCAAGAAGGATTTATAAAGGAATATCTTAAGCTCTAAGAAGTTATTCATTGGTAGTTAATTAGGATACCGCATAATTGAAATGCAAGGCCATTTTTATCATTCAATCAATGAGGGAGCTAAGACTCCAATGGCTTTTTCTTATTTGTGGCTGAAATTAAAACTCTATTTTTTTTTTACTTTTACACCCGGTATCCTGAAGTGTCTGGGTGTATTGAATTCATCACTGTTCTAATAAACTCCAAATTAACCTAAATCTTTCCTTAGGTGAGACCCTCTTTGAAAGGGTTTCGTAGATATCACTAACGAGACATGCTTTGCATGTTCAACTGCGTTGTTATATATCCTAAAACTCAAACTCAAGACTTTAGGTTAAGCTATCCAAATTTCTAACCATTAAGACAAGTACCTACTGATCAACTCCAATGTTTTAATTCCTAACAAAACAATCATATTCAATGGTGGTATTTCCATTGACTGAAGTGTTGGCTCATTTTGTTTATTTACTTAGTTTTAAGTTTGCCGTCATCACTTTATTAGCCCAAAAACAAGAGCTTTATCTTGGGCCTAAAAAGGCCCATTAATTCATCAACGAAAAGCAATAATGGAACTTTTTCTTAAAAAAAAAAACACTACACAGTTCATGTTCTTGGGGTGGCTTATATTTTTCTAGTGTTGCTGCCTCCGTAGGAGAGATTTTGGACTAAGATTACTTGTACAGTGATTTTTAAATTATTATAACTTGATACATTTTAATTTAAATAGTTCAGTTTGAAACTTGGAATCATCTAAGCAGATTGATTTATGTTGTTAAAAAATTCAATTGATTTAAATGCAAAGATAATCATGTTTTGGCAAAGAAAAAAAAATTCAACGAACACGACGAGGACAATTTTGATTATATAATAAGAGGAAAAATTTCTTTGCCATAATTGCCCGAATTGGTAAAAAATTTGACCCATGAATCCTATTGCCGACGGATAAGTAAGACATGCAGGCTTTCCGTAAATATTTAGATTTTAGGCACAGGCTCAGGTATGCGCTTATTGATAAGAAAAATGTCCGAGAAAGTGGTTGAGCCATGGACCTAACTGATCTTAGCTCTGCAAGGCAACGAAATACAAAAAGAAATAAAATGAATATTAACTATAATAGAGATTATACTGTCAGCAGTGAAATATGATTCCAGTTCTTTCAAAATAGCGATATATGAAGCCTCAAACTTAACTGTGCTAGAATCTCATAACCAGTATGGCGAAAATGTCAAGTGACTCAATGGTACCAGATTCAGTCTTAACTTTGTTATGTATGAGAGGTTGGAGGATCGAACTTGAGGAGGCTCTCCGCAAGAGGAATAATCCTGCACACTACTGCGGAGAAGCCTTTGTCTCCTGATGCTCACCGTAAGGGGTGGGGTTGCCCTGTTATGGGCCCTGAGGGGAGAGTGTCCAGCGCCTAGGGTGACGGTGAGATCCCGAGGAGGGCTGTTACATAAATTCACAACGTGGGTTTCATATTTTAGATGAAATGTGAATTAAGCAGTGCTATTTTAGAATACTATGAAAAATATGGCTTAAAATGTTTAGTTTATTTTATAGGGGCTTTACCAAATTTAGCTAATATTATATGGTTAAATAAAACTAATAACCCACCTTTTTTTAAATTAAGATAATTACTGTTTTCTAATTTACCTTTGATACAAAAAACAAAATTATCCTTAAACATCACAATACCCTGATTCTCCTTTTTTATATAGGTTTTGCTTTCACCCACCTGAAGACATGGAGACGACACTGCACTCTCAGTCATGACGGCGAAGAAACTAATAGTAGACAATGAAATAGCTCACATTGATGATTAAACGGAGTTAGAAATTCAACCAAGAGATCACAAGAATGTGAGGGAAGGCAAATTAGAAGCTACAGATTTAGGTTGAAAAATCATGAATGTGAGGTAAGGAAGTTTGAAATTGCAGCTTCTATACAAAACCACACTAAGGCTGCAAATTCAGGGTGAGAAAGTTCGGTCAGACTTTGTTACAAAAGCCAGAGTTCAAGCCAGAGTTTCCTGAGATTTTGTTTGATCTATTTTGAAAAAATAATTATGTATTTTTTGTGTTACTGATCTGCGATACTACATCATTGATATACGACTGTATATCAATTCTAAATAAGTTTATGTCTGATTGTTTGATTATGTTGATCTATGATAGTATATCAGTGATATATTATTATATATCACTGATATTAAGTCTTATCAGTAAAAACTTATCAATTTATTTATCATTAATATATAGTCATATATCAATGATATAGTATCGCAGATCAGTAATGGAGTTTTATTTTCAATGTTTAATATTCTCTTGGCAATATCTAGGAAAAACAGAGAGGGAGAGAGAGGAAAAATTCTGTGATAAAGATGGTGATCCAGACAAATTAGATCAAAAATTTTGATGAAGAAAAGCACTATACGAGAGATAAATATAATGATTCAAGAAAATCAAATCTAAAAATATGATGAAAAAAATATTTAGATATGATAAATTAGTGAGGGAGCACGTACAATATAATTTTTGATAATAAAAATAAAAGATTCAATCGGTTAAGGATTAATTAAATCAAATATATTATATTTTAATAATAAATATATTCTGAGGATAAAAAAGAAGAAAACATCTAATTGATTTTATGAATGGGCTATATATCAAAATATTTAAAAATCTTATGTATAATTTATGAGAATTGTATTTTTTAAGACCATTGAGTTAATTTTTTTATTTTATATATATATATATATATATATATTAACAATTAACAACACGTGGAGGGAAATAATGAACAGCGCAGTTTTTACCGTGCAGGGAGAGTGCAAATTCGATGGAAATGGAAGTCAAGTCACTGTGGAGTACTTATGACGCGCAGGATTGGGAATTATTGGAGTCATCCCAAAACGGTAGCTTTAATCTGGATCGTCTCTACCTTCCTCTTCTTCTGCTTCTTCCAAATGGCTTTCCGGAACTCTTCAGGTAATTATCTTCTACCATATTCGGACTAAATATCCTTCGATTTCATTTTCTGCTCCTGCTTTTGGGTGGAAGACAACAACGAAAAAAGGTTGCTCACACACAAGTCCATCTAATAAACAATCATTATTTTGACGTCTTACTGAGGACCCGTAGTTTTTCTTTTCTTTTCTTTCTTTCTTTTTTTGAGTAAAAATTTCTTTTCTTTCTTTCTTTCTTTTTTTTTGCCCTGTTGTTTAAAGCAGTGGTTGTTTTTCTGCTGAATCCTGAGCTTGGGTCAACCGGGCATCAGTCCTTTACATAAATTATAAACTTCTCACTCCGTGTTTAAGTAATGAGTTGTTTTTATATTATAATGGTAAGACGAACTTATAAAGAATAAAACTGGAATAGTTATGTGTGATTGACCAATAACCATAGTCTTCTGAGAAGCCTTAAATTCTTGGACGTAATGGATTTTATTGAATGCAAATAGGAGTTTCTCAACTCTCATACCCGTGGCATTCATGTTGAGGCGAGGCGAGTGTTTTCTTGAATTGAGGTTAAATTTCTTAAATTGCTAATTATTTGGCCCTCTTAAGAACACTTCATAACAATACATTTTTGCTTAACGTAGTAGTCCTATAGAGGGATCATCCTTTTGCGATTTCTTTTAGACTTTTAGTGACGTTTTCATTCAAATTGTTCTTTTTTTTTGGGAGGGGGGGTTTATCTGAGTGTATCCCTGTGTGTGTCTAAGCGAGGAAGTAATTGATACTTAGTCGAGAGGTGCCTGAATCAGATTCTGAAAATACATACTCGGAGCAAAGATCAAAGTTATATGAGAAGATGGCAAGAGATCTGGATGAACATGGGGCAGCTTTTCTGAAACATGGTGAAACCTCTCAGTCATTGTCACTTTCAGATATCTTTACCCTAAAGGATGGATCTGTAACACCTATACTGCAGGTAACATATAATAATTCAATCTGCCATAGCTGAATTGTTATTGCTGTTGTTGTTGTTGAATTTCTTGATCTGTGATTGAAGTTTCCTGTGTGCAGCCAGCAAATCCTCCTGTGCGGGCTATTGTATTGCATTTGAGCACTGAATTCTCTGTACCGATTGCGTGAGTCTCTTAGTGTTCTAAAGAACAAAGATGACGTTTATATGCCTTCGCATTTGCTCATGTTAAGCTGCCATACCCGTAACTATCTGATTTGGAAGTGATTTTGAATTGGATGATCATATTTTGATGCCATAATCATTTAAAACTTGCTATTTCCTATATACAAGAAAACTTGCGCCGTCCAAAAAAAAAAAAAAATGTTGGGATGCTTAGGAATTTTTCCCCCCTGATATATCGGAACTTGAAAACGCAGACCACTAAATTGGGATGCTCAGGATATCAGCATTGCTAGTCACGGAAACTTGAGCTATTGCTTTCTGCAAATTTAAATTGCATTTTTAAGTATATAATATAATATCATCTTGTTCATCTTTGAGAAAATGAAGAAAAGATCAGGTTTTATTTCTTACGTTCAATATTGGTGTTGTGAGAGATTTCTGGAGTGGAAAACATCAAGAGAGATGGAAATTTAAAATAGGTCTTAACAAAATTATTGCCTGAAGTTCTGGCAAAACTCAAAAGTACATGTAACTGACACATGCCAGGTTTATATGACACAGGGAAGCTGTTAAAAGCATTTTTAATCCATACTTCGATAAAGGTAAGCTGTAGTCGGATCAACCCATGGACAAATTGGTTTATATGTTTTTACATACCTTTTGTAGCTTCTTCACCCTTTTTTCTTATCTTGTTCATTTTATTATCATCCTTTCATGGGTCAATTAGCAATCTGGTTTCAGAACTCTAGTGTGTACCATTTTAGCATGTTTCATGCTTCCCACCGTCTTACACCTGTGCCTGCCACTGAAGAAGCGGTAAATTTTCACTTCACATTTCACTGTTTCTTCTTGACTCTGCATTACCTCGCCCATGACTCATGAGCATCATTTATTTTCAGATAGAAGCTGAAGCATCTGCTGTGCAAGCTGTTGCTGGGACATTCTGCCCTTTGAATATTGTTTTGGACAGGGTGGTTTTGACTTCAGCTGGAGTTCTTCTCGGTTGCTGGCAGGTTACTTTCTATCATTGAAACCCACTTTTTTCTCCTTCCCTCCCCTCATACACATAATCTTCAACATCTGTTTGCATTTTAATTATTCGATTCACCGCCTTGTTATGTTTACTGATGCTGGCTAATGTTTTGGTATTATTACTTTCATCATGATTTATTTTTCACTCTTGCTTTCAAGTCTTGCCTTCTGTTGATTAATTTGTAAAGCCTTCCAATTTTATAACTCGATGATGATTTGAACAATATTTGGTTGGCACCTTATAATATATAAGCAGTGAGTTTTGACCAGTTACAGGAAGTATTGATCTTTTTATGCTATTGATATAGTTAAGAATTTCAAACCATATCTATTTGAGTCATTATGTTGAAACATATCTCTTTTAGGATTTCATACAATGCAGACAAACCTAGGTTGATGATTATATTTGTATGCATTTGCTGTAGGTGACCTCTGGTACAGATCCTGTTATCATTCGTGCTAAGTTGCGGGATGCGCTTCCACATGCACCAGAGAAGCAACTTGTAAGCACCACTTGATTGCTCCCTTTTATTAATTTTTTCACCGTAAAATCAAGATGAACGTCTTGTAAGATTTTAATATGTAACTAGATCTTCCTTTTTCCATGCTTAAATTTCAGAAGTACATTGGAAATGAAATTGTGGCCATGGCCCTACATGAATCTTGAATTCCATGTGTTCTCTACGACTCCATTATTATAAGATTATTGTTTAAAATCCTGCCAGTTATAAGTTATACAGACCCCTAAGTAATTTTTCTGTCAGTTTTTCTAGGCAATCTGCGTTGCAGTGATGCAGTTCAGTTCAACTTCCCTGAAGGAAAAATCTACTTCATCATTTCCTTTATCTTGCCTCTTAAGATTAAGAGTAGGGAACAGTAATTAAAGATGTTGGACTTTAGTCTCTTCTTCGTATCATGTCATACTGGTTGAGTTCTAAATTAACAGTTTATTGATTTATAGAATTTCATTCTCAATTTAAGTGGCCTATCTTTTCCAAACTTAGATTTGATTTAAAGTCTAGTATGCCTCGGAAACGCTGATTACCTTCGTGATACTTGTTGATCTGCCATTTTCTTTCTTCTGCAGTATGATCCTCCAATTCTTTACACGTCGTTTGCAAGGCTTTTGGGTCCACCTAATGCATTGCCTACGGTAATATGTATATTCAGTTTTCCTTGAATTTTTTTACCTGTTAATCAATAAGCTGTTTGACATCATCTTCCCATCTCCTGTTTTAAAGTTGCATCTGCAACTAATTTTGAGACCAGTATATTTGTTGGTTACCTAAAGTTGTTATATCTTTTAGACAAGCCTGTAAAAAACAAAGAGTCTGATACTCTTGTTAATATCTGTTTACCTAACTCCACATGCCAGCGTGCTTGAATTGAGCTAGTAAGTTTATAATTAGTTTGTGACATAACTTCGGAAGATTTTCTTTGTTATCTTTGTTGATGTATTTGTGGAAAGTTGGTGTCTATTCTGGTCCTCTCTATAATTGTATTCAATTACAATAGAAATGAAAAGAGAACCCCGAGGACAAATGGTACATGGAATAGCATAATAACTTGAAATAGGATGCATTCATGAATTGGTTGCGTTTATGATGCTCCTGATGAGAACTTAATCCAAGATACTTTTGCAGTGTTATTTTATCAGTTCCCTCACTCTCCATTATGTTATTGACCTCTCAATTCTTGTGGTACACAGGAGCACAAAACCTCGGGTGAGCTCCAAATCTTCCATGAGCTAGTTAATCAACTAGACAATCAGATCCGTGGATTCAAGGTCTGTGTATATATCGTCTCTATGGCAATAACAATTGGAAAGGCCTTTAAAAAGTCAAAATTGATCATCTTGCAGGAAGTAGTATAAGTAATGAAAATTACTTCGCCTAAAGTTCCTTCTTTCTACCAAGGGCAAGATTCATAGTCGTAGATGATGGTTATTAGTTTAACTTTGGGAAATAGAGTTTGTGGACTTGCTTATGGTACAAAACACTTTGAAGCAACCATGGATCTTCCTTCTTCTTTCTTCCAAATTGCAGCCTCTAAACTAATCGGTTACTGTTTAGGCTCTCCATTCTTGTGCTATCTCTTGAACACTTTTATACGCAGGCAGTGGTATCGGATCTCTGGTACGTGGAGGAATATGATGTGCTTGCACTTGCACTGAATGGAAGAATGGCTATTCGCAAGTTCAAACTCTGCTGCTCAGGAGCATGAAGTTATGACAGGTGCAGACTAATTTCTGAATATACGAAGTATAATAAGTTCACAGATGAGTATAATTAATACCACAGTACCTCTGACATAATGTGCAATAACAGGTGAATAATATATGTTGTTATAGTGCTTGCATTTGTTTATGTAATATATCTCTCTCATCCTTTTCCGAGTTCTAGTCCTGATTAAACGACACCAAGGAATAACAATTCCTTACACTCAAACATCAAAGTTAAAATTGATGATCATTCACTAATCTAACCTTGGAATGGGATAGAATAGATTTTTTTTTTATTGTTTTTCTTTTTCTGTTTTTTGTTGGTGGATTGAATTCTTAATTCTGAGTTTGGATGATTCCTTCAAAATGAGTTATTTGCACTCCAAAAAAAAAAAAAATCAGATGGGATTAGCAGCATTTCTAATTTCTTGGAACAGAATTTCAAATTATACTAATATGCCAAAGCTTTATGGGGCTAATATTCTGAAGTGAAGATTATTTTTTGCCAAGATTTGAAAATAATGGAATGAGATCAAGTTTAGAATGACTGGAAAAAAAAAATCAACAAATCAAGAAAACTTTACATGACTTGATGGATTTTCATTTCAAAAGATTTGTGCGCTTGTATAATAACTAAATTTTGCAAAGATGGCTGGTAATTAATTTTCAAAATATTAAAACAAGCTTTTGAATGAAAGATTACACATGAGCAATATTTGTCGTGGATGAATGTGTTATTTTATCAATTAAACTATGACGTGTGACAGAAATTATATACGCGTGATTTGAAGTTAATAGGATTTATTCACGCAAATAATTAAAATCGAGATCTTCATTTAATATGAAATTTATAAATAAATTGATAAATTTATTAAGACAAAAATTCATCTGAAAGAAGGAACTATTTACAGGCTAAAAAATTATAAACATATTCCTGTTCACATTATCAACTGTTTTGTTGAGGTTTTAGCTGTGAGCTGAGGCCTGATGGTGACAGCTTAACCTTCAGCTACTCTGCTTCGGGTAGTCGGTAATTGGTACTCTCGTAATTCTGATAAAAACCAAGGTTCCTTTCATTTATCACAGATTTAAATATTATTCGGTGACCAAACCCACTAAACCGAAAAAAAGATATGGTGCTCCTGCATTTCTGTCCAATCTTCCACCACTTAAAAAAAAGAAAAAATAAATTGAAATAGGTAAGCTAATATAGATTAAAAAAACCACAACTAAATCTTAAAAATATCGCAACGTTAAGGTATTATTAAAATCTTAGTATTTTTTATAAATTGCGAATAATTTTGAATTTTAAAAATAACTCGAGTTTCCCATGCATGTAGATGACAAATAATTCAAAATTTTGTTGTCAACACAAATTTCAAAATGCCTGTGGAATTGCGGTAAAAATGATTCCCCTGCTCTATGTACACAAATACTCACATATATTTAATATATAACCTGCATAGATTGTAATTTTTATTGTTGTTTAGTTCAGGCCAAAAAGTATTATTTAGTTAAAAATATTGTAGTTTTAACCTCCCGAGATACAAAATAATTTGGAAAAAATATTTGTTACCATTTAAAGAGAGAGAAAGAACTTTGGTTCCCCCCCCCCCCCAAAAAAAAAAAAAGAACTCTTTAAGATAAGAAATAGATACAGTGCATTCATCTGTTTTTAATGTCTAAATGATAAAACTGATATCTAGCTTTTTTTTTTTTTTTGAGTCAAAGGCAATATATATATATACATACATACAAATGGATACAGCGGAAAGAAAAATACAATAAGAATAAAGCCAAACAAAAATGTAAAAAATATATTAACTAGTAGAAGTACAGTACTTTGAATTTTAGAGAATTTGAATTGCATTAAATATAAAAAATATATTATGCCCACAAAAATGAAATATCATATTATTTTTGGTTTATAAATAATGATTAATGATATTTTTTTTATAAATAATTATATATTGAAAATTTTGATCTGAAGAATAATTTTTAACAAAATTAAAATTCAAGGCAAGAAAATTAAGCACGCAACAGAATCTCCTCTGAATTCTTTCTTTTTATTTATTTCTTCTCTTCATCTAACACCGCTTTTTGTGGAGTCCTCTTTACACTGGGAAACAAAACAAGGCGGCATCACCCAAAAGCAACACACTCTCCCTCTCTCTGTTCTGTCCTCGCTCCAAAATTTTACCATCTTCATACAGAGGGAAATCGGGCTTGACGAAACCCTATTTTTCACCCTCAATCTCATAGAGAGGGTTGCAAATAATCTTCACTTTGACAGATCGGAGATGGGATCTGGGGCTGGAAATTTCCTCAAGGTTATTCTAAAAAACTTTGATGTTCTTGCTGGGTAAGCTCTTCCCTCATTCCCTTAACTTCATTCTTTTTTGCGAGTCAAAGATTCTACGGCATTATTTCTTGCTTTAACGTCATTGGAATTATGGGAGGCGGGTTGATATAACTATTAGAGGTGGTTAAGCACTTGAAACTTTACCAGAATAGCACAAGCAGTCGCATTTGTTTATCGTGGCTGCCCCTCCTCTTCGGAGACTCATTCTTCAAATCAATGTGCTTTTGTTGCTTCTCTCCTAACTCATACTTATGCGCTTCTCTTGCAGGCCTGTGGTCAGTCTTGTTTATCCTCTGTAAGTGCAATTTCAAGCCTACATTTATTTTCCCACATAAATATACATACTACAGAATTTCTTGGAAATACTCAATCAGTTCTGTTTGCTATTGTTCAATCTCAGATATGCCTCAATTCAGGCAATTGAGACCAAGAATCCTGTTGATGACCAGCAATGGCTTACTTACTGGATTATGTACTCCATGATCACCCTGTTTGAACTTACTTTTGCCAAAGTCCTTGAATGGTAAGCTACTTAATTTTATGCCAATTTGTGTTTTCTTGATGTTTTCTTTATTGTGTAGGAAGCCTAGTATCATTAGTTGTCACAATCTTGAGATTTAGGGATCAGAATAGCCAGTACCTAAACAGTGCAGTGCAATTTCTTGTGCACCGTCATTGGTAGTTTCTTAGCCTGTGAGTTCAACTTTGTTTAGGTTTTCTGATTAATTAAGATGCAGAATTAATGCCTAAATTTTCCACTGTGATTGGTAGTTTCTTAGTTTCTCAGTATGATGTTATACATTTACAATCTTGAAGGGGGGATAAAAAGTAAAGGCTGTAGGTGATAATGTGAAAGGCATTATAGAAACCTAATGCAAATATATTTTAAAATGTAAAGACCCGCATTGAATTCCTCTTTAACGATACCTGCAAAATTTCATCTTGAGTGAGGGAAAGTAGCTGGACTTTTACCTAAACTATCTTCAAGTATGTGACAGGATCCCTATCTGGCCGTATGCAAAGTTGATCCTGACCTGCTGGTTGGTGCTTCCTTACTTCAGTGGTGCCGCCTATGTTTATGAGCATTATGTGAGGCCTTTCTTTGTCAATGGTCAGACTATCAACATCTGGTACGTCCCAGGGAAAAAGGAACACCCGAGTAAACCAGATGACATTCTAACTGCTGCAGAGAAGTATATCCAAGAAAATGGAACACAAGAATTTGAGAATCTCATCAACAGGGTTTGTTCTTTGTTCCTTTGCGGAATTATGCTTTCGATCTTTTCTAACTTGTTTGTGCTAACACAATTAAACCTCCATGCAGGCCGATAAATCTAGGAGTGGCGGATATAGGACGTATGATAAGAGCTATTGATGCTGAGTTTTTTTCCTTGACTGCTACTGAATGCAAACTTTTAGCCTGTCTTTTGTGGGAAAGGGGGTTCAGTCTCATGTCAGTATGATACTCACATTTTCTCGTCTTTACTTGAGTGATAAGTGATACTAATTGGGATTTTTTGGTGTCTCGCATTGTCTAGAATTTTTAGCGTGTAATTATGTCAGGCTTAGTAATGCATGTTATGTCCGGTGGCCATGACAACGGCGGTAGATAATGATAATAAAAATTCAAAACCAGCTGGTTAATATTTTTCTCGATTTATGCCCGTACCCCACCCCAACACTATTTTCATTAATTATACGTTGTTATATTAAACACGCGCATACAACATTTATGAGACCGAACTTGCGACTTCGTCCAGGAGTAACTGTGGCCCTACCCCCACCCCCAACATTACGAGAATTATGAGTGTGAAGTTGCACTTTCCGTTTAGTTTTTCAGTACAGTTTAAGCTGATGTTGTATTAGCATTGTGCTAACGCTGGGATAAAAAAGACATTTGAATGTACTTAATCCAGTCTCTACCATGACATGCAGGTATACAATGACCACGCTGATGTCCCCAAATTGTTCTGCTCAAACTCTGTTGTGACATTATATTAAAGCTTTATGTACTCATCATGATAAGCTGGAGTCTGGAAACAAAAACTATTTAGAAGATTTGGGATTGCGTAATCTTTAAGATAATTGATCATTTTTAAAATTCAAATATACGGCCATAGGCATTTTGGAAGATGACTGAAATTAACAATATATCACTGGAAAAAAAAAATCAAACGTTTCATTGTAATACCTGCCGTTTAAATTAAATTAATTGTCATTGAGTTTATAAAATACTTGCGTTAATATGAAAGTCACAAAACTAGCAAAACCACAATTAAAACCACTTCGACCATTTAAATTCTTGAATATCGTAGTAGCAGGGCCCCCGCTCAGTCTAAGCAAGTCAATTCAATTCCTGCCTCTTGTGAACCTCGCACGATGGAACAGCACATGGCATATTATCAATCAACATTAATATAGACTTCTTTGGAGAAGATGGAAATGAATGGATGCAGAGCAATGTGCAAGGAAAGATGGTGGAAGGGAAATACGGTTGGTTGGCAAGAGGCGTTTTGGTTAGCACTAGCAGCATTGTTTATATGGCGATGGGGGCACAGTTTTCAAACATGAACCTCATTGTCGAGACCCTGGAATGCGGTGGAAGTGATTATGCGACAATTACAGTGTTATAACAGAATCGTGAAGTAGATATCAGCCTTGTCAACTGGAAAGTCCCTAGAGCAGGTTGGTGCAGACTTAACACACAAGATTGGAAGGTGACAGCTTGCGGCGTTTTGGATGGACTGCAAAGATGCTGGGAAGTGGGATTTAGAAAGATTGAGGTTGAAGGGGATACCCGCAAGATTATCAGTGCTCTTAAAAGCAAGTCAACAATGGAGGCATGCTATATGATTTCTGCAAGAACACAAACTTCTACAGCGAGATTGACAGGTTGAATTCGTGCATGTTTTAGCATCCGCCATTGGAGACAGTGTCCTAGATATTTTAGCAGAGGATTTAAGAGGGCCAGGAATTCCACTTGGACTGTTATGTAGTGTGTAATTGGGCTTTGCTATCGCCAATATATATATATATATATATATTGATGAACTGTATGGCTTGCCACAAGAACAAGATACATGAAGGAATTCTGATCAGTCACGATCTAAGGAAGTAGAAGAGGATAGAGATAGATGTCCATATGGGGATAATATCGACAGGATTGTCATGTCTCTGTTATCAATAAAACAGAAATTGATTTCATATCAAAGCGGGCCGACTATAGGACTAGCAAAACGCATTAATAATTTGATAGGGTTTGCTTAGTTGGCACGATAATACACTGTTAGATGGATCCGGTTGCCCTTATCTTTTTTAGTCAGTATCAATGCCAACTTCACAATAAAAGTGCATCACTCATTTTGACAGGCAATTCTCTATTATTTCAAGCATCACTATGTACACACAAAGCTTGGCAGCTAATTTCATAGACTGCCGAGGTACGATTAAATTATTAACAAGCCATAATTATGGATGTGCTAACCAGCTCCATTTCTCAAGCAGCAATCATTGGAGATATTCATATTCAATAGCAGAGGCGTACAATGAAAAAACTATACTGGAAATACCAGTCACAGTTTCCTCAGAGAATATCAATCCAGCACATACAAGGAGAAGCAAGAGGCACCATAAAGCTACAATCCCCTGTTCCGATTTGTTCAACACGAAGCCTGGCAAATATCTTGCGCATACCAGTCAGGTGTCATTTTTGCAAGAAATCAAGCTTCATTTTCTGCTTCCACTTCTGATCGTCCTCCTCCTCCTTCTTCAGATTGAGCAGCTTCCAAAATTTGATTAAGGCAATCCTGAGCTTCATCTAACGCTGACTCCTTTGCATCAGCAGCATACAAAATCTTCTTGATTGCTATGGTCATCTGTACAAAACCCAAGCAATCACTACTTAAATGCATTTAAGTCATGGTTTATAAGTTTTTCGTTTTTTTCTTTTTTTTTTTTTTAAAGAGGAGCTGATGCCCATATACTCCTCGATGAGCTATTTTAGCTTTTTCAGGTCAACAACCTTGAGTGCAGGTATAAGCTGTTAGCATATATAGACTGCAAAAAGTTTGCAACATCTTTATACCATTTGGGAGAGAGGTGGGGAGGGGTTATAATGCTTATGTTACGTTAAAAGGGCTAAAAAAGAGGTTGCTGCAGGCATAGATGGGTAGAAAACAAAAGTTATTCTGGACTCCAGAACTTGCACTCTTACTCATTTGTTTATGATTTTGACTAAAGAGTCATTGAAGATTAGAACTTCAGGTTGACCTTTCTCCATCCAACCATGAACTATACAACAACAATAACAAGTCTTATCCCACTAGGTTATGAAGACAATTTTGTAAGGTACACGTCAATGCAATTCTTTTAGCAAATTTCACTATATTACCCCAACTAGAGGTCATCGATAAAAGTATATGGATATTAAAAATCAGAAAAAGTCATGACACAATAAAAGCAAGGGGAACAGAAAGTCTTAGTTAAAATTAATTACTGAAACTTCAACACAAGTTTTGATTAGAATTCTTACAGGTACGTTCTCCAGTTGTGGAGTCTGACACAGAATTTCTATATCCCTTAGTTTTGCGTAGTAAAAGTCTCTTTCTTTTTCCAGGACATCCACAGAGAGCTTGAGATCAGTTATCTGTCAAACAGCGGAAGAAATATGCAATGAGCTTGCTAAAATAAAGGTAATTAATATACTTTGGTAAATTTTCAAGCAACAAGATTCCAGTGTTAAAATCCATGTAACAAATACAACATTCGCTGAGTGAAATTAAGAGTGCTAGTGCAAAAGAGGGGGGCGACTGTGTCTAAGCACGATCGCAAATATATGTATCAATTGCCGTATGATGAAATGCTGGCTGCATTTGATGCATTTGTCTACAAATCCAAAGACTGTGTTGGATATTGAACTACAATACTTGAAGAATCTTTTACAGCAATGTGATAATTATTACAGGCATTAGGACTCAATATTCACAGTTCATACCTCCTGGGACAAAGCTTGGATATCTGCTGAAGAATTAGCCACGCCTGCTGCACCACTTGACCTATGTTGCTTGGGCCCTATTGTCAAAAAAGGCATCAAATAATACAGAAAGTCATGACAAAAAGAGTAGAACGTGGTAAAACAAACAAACGAAAGTGGAGAACATTCTAAGACCAAAGATGTCAAGAAGCCAACCAGAGGTTCTATTAGGACTGAGTGTGTTGCCCGAAACAGAATTATTAACAACATTTGTTTGCAGTGATTTTGAGCTCTTTGAAGAACTCTTAAGATTTTTATCCTTTCCACACTTACTCCTACGCTCCACAGGATTATAGTTCCTAGAAGGGAAATTAAGGAATTAATGAAACATAGAGTGCATCAGGAAAACGATGTATGCATGTCATAAAGCCATATGCCATTCAATATAACTTATACTATAATTAAGTATTGCAATGAGTAAGAACGATATGTTCATAATCAAAGCTAATTAGAGGCCAAAGGGTATAATCAGAGCAAGTAGCATACTCATTCATAATGCCACCATTCACAGAGTCACAATAACGTTTTAGCCATTGTAGAAATTCCAGATTGTCCAAAGGTCGGCCTTTAACAAGCCTGCTAACTTCAATATGCTGCCACAGCGTAGGAATGTTAGCAAGGTAAATGGCAACATGCATGAATGACTGCAACAAAGTTCGTTCTTAAGCAAGCTTTTGACCTCATGTAAAGGAATGATTTTAAATCATGTTATTATTCACAGAATGAGGAACAATCACACCCTGGCATGGAACTCGTGCACCCAATAAAACTGGGAAGAGATTCATATCCAGTAAACAAACCTTGCTCTTTCTTATTAGAAAAACGTGATTACTATATTATTATTTTATACCAGGGGGGAAAATATACTGATTAGATGCTACACGTACAAATTATTGCAAGCCACTCCAATATTATTTCCATTTCAATTTATGTTTATTATAGCATAGCCTTGTTCCTAGTAATCCTCTCAGCCTCGTATTATTTCTGAATTAGAAATTAAAAAAAAAATGGTAAGTGGTGACTTGTGATGCTAACTGGCAGCGGTGAGAATTGAGATGTAATAGATGTCATGCGTTTCTCGTGGTTGCCCCCCGGTGTCTAAAAGGAAATACCTTCTCAATCTTCAGCTTGTTGAATACTTCCTGAAGAATTTTGTAATTCTGGATCATATCATATTCTGATTTCGCATCAAAATTCACCTGGAATCAACCTCGAATTGTAAAAATTACCCAATAGGCGAATATGATGATATAATAGCATTAATGAAAAGTTAAATCTTGTTGCCACCTTGTGCATTGGAACAACCCCAGGATAGGTCATGTCCATTATCTGACATTGTACAGCACCTGATGCAGCCTATCCAGGAAAATATAACCGGTCATAATCAAAAGCCTCGTTTTTATCAAAGAAAGAGCCAAAGATGAACAATATAGAAGTTTGTTCAGGTCAAATTCTCGGTTAATATGCTGGAGTTCTTTGATAACAAAATAGAACCACAAAAATGAAGAATAGCTTCCTACGTACGTCGCCTGGTTCAAAAATAACGTAGACGAGCGGAAGCATGAATAGCTTGGAAATCCCTTTAACTTCGGGAGGGAAAATGTATTACAAAGGAGAGCACCGACAGGGGAAGAAAAAACAAATTTCACCCAATGTAGCAAGAGAAATATAGAAAGAAGAGCCCATCGTTCCAATGTTTCTATTGTTTCTTTCGTAATTACCAAAACCAGATACGGCTTTAAGTTCGATACGAAATGGTCGGTACCTCCTCAACGCGCGAGAGATTGAGTTGAAGTCTTCTGTTGATCCAAGTCAAAATCTCATTCCGACCGACAAAGTAAGCACTGTCCATGATACCAATGCTCGACGCCATTTCCACCAAAACCCCAGAAAACCAATCCTTCGGGAGGGCCCAGAAAATGAGACAAGTAAATAGAGGGAAATGATGATGGTGGCGTGGGCCTTTAAAGGCACGGGATCGAGATTGTTTTCTTTTTTTTTTTTTTTTTGGTTTTTGGGGGGGGGGGTGTTGGCGAAATCTCAGAAAATTTAACAAAGTCTTAATGGAAAATTGACGACTGAAGCGAATGAATTAAATTGAACGATAATGGAAGAGATTTTGCGAGTGGAAAGGAAACGAAGGAGCACGCGCGCGATCAGAAGGAACACCTGAGTGACTACGGGGGCAAGGGACGGCGCTGACAAGTCAAATGACAAAGCGAGATTGAGAATTTAACATGACTCGCTCCCAGGGGAGGGAAACAGATTTCATGTTTAATTTGTTTATTAACAAATTCTTGGCGTCATTTGTTTGCACTTTGTCGGTTTGATTTGTTGAAGCTAGTTTAGGTGCCAAATGGAAGATTGGAAGGATTATACTATTATTATATTCGGCCAACAAGTATGGAGAACTTTATACTTTTTTTATAGCATTCGACTTATGTATAAATTATACTTTCCTCTTACTGCCATTTCAACCACGGTATCTTCAGGCCCAAAAGCAAATATAATTCATGGTATCTTGATCTTCACTTGAATATATAAGGTGGCATCAAAAGTCAGAACCTTTGTTTAACAAAATTATAAATTGTAAACAAAAACGATGAGATGCATCATGCATGTATATGGGAAACACCCTTCAATGAACCTGGACAATAGCGTAGAATAGAACCCAGACAGGGAAAGAAGATTACTTTAAAATTGGCCAGCAAAAGAGTAGTGTAAACTTGAAAATAAATGAAGTTTGCAATGTTTTCTGAGTCATGTATGACGTTGTTCGCTGCAGGACTAGGTGTGACCTTAATCTACCTTGATTTGCTTCGATGAAATTTTGTTCGAACACGTTTCGGGCACATCTTATTCAGAGATTGACACATTCCCTTTTTGTTTAATTCCTAAGAGGCATTGAGTGAAATCCATAATTAGCGACATGAGCACTTGATATATTTTTTTTTTGGCTAGATTACTCGATCTTTCTCGGAGTAAGATTGTAAGAGTGTATTTAAAAGTTTATGATTGAATGAAGAGAAACTATTATTAATGAAATGGAGCGGAGTGGAGTAAAATAAAACAAAAACTTTCATTATTTGAGAGTTGTATGATTGGGAAGGAATGATTTTATATGACCATTATTTAAGAGTTATTATAAAATGAATAGAACATATCAGTTTAATTTTTTTTCTTCCAATATTACTCATATGATTAAATTCAAAATAATAATAATACTCATTAAATAATTATAATATTTATGCAATAAAAAATAATAATAGTTAAAATTAATGATTAAATAAGATATTTAAGAATTAAAAATAAAAAGAGAAAACAAGTAGCAGAACTGTTTATACAAACATTCTTATTGCATAAGAGTAAAACACAACAGATTTATAGTGTTAAAAGGCACGACAAAGAGGGATGATAAGAGTGCAAGAGATATAACAGGAAGTATGGCTATGTATTATATCTGAATGCCCAGTCAACTCGGTCTTGCCCAAAACATTTGGGCATATGGGGCTAGATATTGATTGTTGTCAAACCTTACATTGCCTGAACATATGCAAGCTTTTTTATTTTTTTAAATTGTTTGTAAATAATATTTGTCTAATGGCATTATTTCTTTTTTAAAGTTATCACGAATTATATTATTTTTATAATATTGTAGACATTTTTTATTATTGTAATTTTTTAAATCTCTTTTTAAAGTTAAAATTTATTTTAAACTTATTATTATGTAAAAATATTTGGCAATTATTATTCATTTAAACTTTTTAAAAATTACTTTTCATTCTACTATTAGTTTTGTGAAGAATATATTTTAAATTATAATATTTTTTGAGGAGGAAAACTTTTTTATATTTTTTTATATACATGTACAAATATTTTTAGGTCAATCAAGTTAGTCCGGTGCCTAAGTGCTCATTGGGCTAAGGCATCAGACTAGGATGATGCTTGGCCCGACCCTACCCATATACAACTCTAATGGGAGGCAAAAGAGATGACTGGAGAATAAAAATAACAGATGAATTTTTTTTTTTAATAAGATAGGATGTTGGGAGTAATTTTATAAATAAAATAATTATACTATATCACTTTATACTTAATCTTTCAATTTGGGAGGACAAAAAATATTGAATTATAGATGGCAAAGGAGAGCTTTAGAAGCCCTTCTTTGCCATTCTATCATTCTTAAAAAAAATTTATAAATAATGACTCATGTCTTTTAGTTACCTGCTTCATTTCATTTTTTTTTTTAAATCTCACAAACAAAATGTAAAATTTTTTATAGCGGTGTATCATCCCATAAAAAAGTCACATGATTGGTTATTAACAAGTCACGCACATAAACACGCGTGAGGGAGACCACGATGGTTTGTGGCGTGGATGACTGTATGTGAGTTAAGACGAGAGAGAGAGTGGCATTATAGATTTCATTTAGTTCTTTGCTTCCCCCTCACCCCCTCCCCCTTTTTTTTTTCCAAAATCACACACACACACACACACATTTTTTGGTACAGCAAAATAACACTTATGCTTTCATTCAATGGAGATTTGGAGATGCGCATTTTTTCGGGCCAGCATGGCCATTTATTTGGAACAGCCCAACCACATGGGCTTTTTTTAATTTCTCCACTTTTTGTTATTTACAACACGGGCTTTCAATTCGGCCTGATTCGAGTTAGGGTTTTAGGTCAGTTATATTAGCCACAATGCAACGAAGCAAAGTTCTTGATCCTCATTTCTCTGTAACAGAGAGCAAGGGAAGGTGACGGCTCCGCCATTCAAGAGCCATGGTGCACGTCTCATTTTACCGCAATTGTAAGTCTGCCTCAATTTGTTTTCTCTTTCTCTGTATTTACTGTCCTGATCTATCGGGTTAACCTGCGGTGATTTGATTTCTGGCTGCTGAGCTTTTTGTGATAATGTCGAAATCACTTGGACCATCTTTTCGTGCATTCACCTGTTCATCTCATATCATTATAGAAGATGTCTGGGCTCTCTTCATAGTCTAAATCATAACACTGATTTTTTGTAAATAGATGGGAAGACTTTTAAGAAGCCTCGCCGTCCATACGAGAAGGAACGGTTGGATGCTGAGCTGAGGCTCGTGGGAGAGTATGGACTCCGCTGCAAGAGAGAGTTGTGGAGGGTTCAGTACGCTCTGAGCCGTATCCGTAATAATGCTAGAATGCTTTTGACCCTCGATGAGAAGAACCCACGTCGGATCTTTGAGGGCGAAGCTCTTCTTCGAAGGATGTTTCGTTATGGGCTTCTAGACGAAAGCCAGAACAAGCTTGATTATGTTTTGGCCTTGACCGTGGAGAACTTTCTTGAGCGTCGCCTGCAAACTCTTGTCTTCAAATCTGGGATGGCAAAGTCCATTCACCATGCTAGGGTGCTTATAAGGCAAAGGCATATCAGGTTATCTTTTTCACCTCTTATTCTTTGTTCTAATAAAAAAAACAAAAGTGAAGTTGAGTCCTTATGATTATCAGCGATCCATGATTGTGATTATGGTGCTAATATAATTCTTAGTTGGAGATCCTAATCTTTGAGACTATACAATACCCTTTACCCTATGTGCTTTACTGGCCACTTTAGAGGATTTTGGCTAGCATGATATTGGTTTTATTCAAATAAATTGGAAGTTGGATAGCTGTGTCATTGTCGTGGGGCAGGAGAAATTAGTTATGATATTCTTTTGTATTAGTCAGTTCATGAAATTTGGTGGTGCATGCATCTTATGAATTGTACATTGACGCTTGACAATTTAAGGATAATGGGAAAAAAAAATTGAAGAACGAGCTCCAAAAGGATAACCCTTTTTCTGAAAAGAAAAGGATGTAGTGCTAGGAAAACGGTTGCTTTCACCAAATAATACCATGTTCAAGATGGTGGTCTCTATCAAATTTCTACCATCTGTACACTCGCGACACTTGAGTAAATGTATTAGAGAAGTTTGTTCCCCCCCCCTCTCCCAAGGGACTAATTCCTGAAGAAACTGCTTGTTGGTGTATTTTACGACCTGGCAGGGTTGGAAGGCAGGTGGTGAACATCCCATCGTTCATGGTAAGAGTTGATTCACAGAAGCATATTGACTTTTCACTAACAAGTCCGTTTGGTGGCGGGCGTCCTGGAAGGGTGAAGAGAAAGAACCAAAGAGCTGCTGCTAAGAAGGCTGCTGGTGGAGATGGCGATGAGGAGGACGAGGATTAGATTATGGATCTTCTAGCTTTTTCATATTTTGTCATCCTTTATTTGCGACTGTAGCTGAGATAGTTTTGCTTCCATGGTTCAGTTTTATACCTTGTTCATCTTGTTTCCTGGGGACAAGCTAATGCCTGAGCTTACATTATTGCGGAACGACATCTATTTGAAAAGATCAATTTTGCTTGGAAATTTGTTGCCATCCATGTTTTAATCTTACTGCCCTCACCTTCCATCAGTAGACCAGAAGTATCTCTTACCCAGTAACCGGAGTCTAACCTCCTTTCCTTTGTTGTTCATTTATTCCTTCCGATGCGATGATCAGTGTTTTTCTTTCTGTGTTTTTTTTTTAAGTTGGCCAGATTCCAATGATCATGGTCAAGTCTTGATTTTAGGAGGGTATGTGCCCTACACTTGGGCTCTCTCGTCAAAGCCATCCACGAGTATTTGTTCAGCTTGTTGATCCCCCAAATTTGCTTCTGGAGCAGCACTTTTTTAAACACGAGCATTCGCTTTTGTTTTTTTTGGGAACAAAACACGAGCATTGTTAACAAGGTCCGGGAAGATATAATTGCATTGCCAGTAATGATATATTGGGCTGCGAACTATGTTGGGGCAGGGAGAGTCCAATTGGAGGAAGCTTAAAAGTAATTTTTTGATTAGTTAAAATAAATAATGTTAATTGTAGTTTTGGCTTTAGCAATCATTCTGGAATCATAAGGCTATAAGGCGCGGGGTGTCTCCACTTTTCTACCGTTATCTCCATTTGGATGGAAAAAAAAAGTTGAAGGGAAAAAAATAAAATAAAAGGAATAAGATGGAAAGAGAAGAAAAATGGAGGGAAAAATATCATCACCCTTTCCATGTGAATGGACAGCAGAAAATTAGGGGAAAAGAAAATGAATAAATATCATAATAATTATAATGTCTTTATATTAAAATATATCATGTTTCATATAGTTATATTTACAATATAAATTGAAAGCTGAAATTATATTAAAATTAGCATAATCAAATTAATTTAAGATCAAATTATTTTTTAAAAATGTATTTTTATGTTATATTTTAAAATCAAAGAATTTAGTAAAAAATATGTTATTTTCACATTTTAAAATTAAAAGTGGGCACTGATAAAAAAAAACATGGTACTTATAGGGACAAAATCTTCAACATATTAATAATAAAATATTATAAACACTATGGTCAATTCGTCAACAATCATGAGCATCATGACAAAATATATGTATTCATTGAATAAAAAGGACCAACATGTCCCATATATTAGACTCTGAAACTGATTTATTATTTACCAGGGACTTCAAAAAATTAATATATCACAATATACTAATAAAAAGATTATACATGGCCAGGCTGGGCACAAAAAGAAATGAAAGATCAAGGACGTGAGAGATTTCTCAGCGCTCAAGATAAGACAACAACAACAACAACGATTGGATGAATTTATTTGCAGTTGAAGCCGATGAAAAAATTTTCTACATTGAGCTTATTTGTTGTCGGTGTTATCATATGATAGGACTGGATTGTTTCCCCATGCTGTGGGCATCAGTTTCGCATTAATGGTGTATTTAGTTGGGGGAATTTTTTTTTTTTTTTTGTGGGAGGATGCCCCCTTCCCTCTCATTTGATTGAAAAATTTGACCGATTTTTTAAAGGGGAGCCGAATCTTGTGATTAATTTGTCTTGATATATTTCTCTGTTATTTCATAAATGCCAACGGTAGTCATGCTTCATTTTGCTTTTTCATTGTTGCTGAACTTGTCTCGTAGGGCATTTTCCTATTGTTCCCATACCTGTCTCTCTGCTGAACCTCTTATTTTATTTTATTGGTTTTTTTTTTTGGGTCAAGCAGTGTCTTTGCTGAATATTGCGTCGTAATGGAGACCATCATAAACCAGTTATCAAAGGGAATAACTTTCCTCACAATAATACCATTAATGGGAGGTTAGAATAGAGTACATCTCGAGGAATCAAAACAATGGGGCATATGGATTAGCAATAGAACGTTTCCTCTTTTTTAGATAGTGCCTCTCCTCACATTAGGGCCTTTGTTCAGCATTGACTGTATGGGATCTCAATACCCCCTCTCTTGTCAGAATTAATTTATGGGCTTAGCCTCTCCTTTACCCAAAACAAAAAGAAAAAAGAAAAAAACCATCAATGGCGCGGCTAAGTAACTTTTATTGTCTACCGTAGCCTGGGGAAGAAGATTGCTAAAGGCTAAAATTTCGAAGTGTTGACTTGGTGCTGTCCGTTTCAAGAATGATGATATTATTTTATTGTTATTGTTACATTACTCAAACAAGTCTCCTAATATTATTTTAAAAAATCCCATCATCGATCCTGTATTTTTATTGACTTTTATTTTTAATCATTATAATTTTTTGTAAATATTTTTAATTTTTATAATTTTAAAAAGATTGAGTGACATTAATTTTTTAAGTCTCTAAAGCTTTAATTTTTTTAGTATTTTTAATCCACTGAAAATATTTAAAAAATTATAAAAACTAAAATTAAAATTTAATAAAATTATAGGGACTAAAAATTATATTTTTTTATTATTTTATTATATATTTAAAAGAGTTAAAAATTATTGTTATTATTATATTATTCAAACAAGAGAGAACTTAAAAAAATAAAAAATTATATATAAGAATATAACAATATATTTTTATGATTCTATTTATAGACACTTGTTAATTTTTAATACTTCTCTTTACATTTTTTTATTTATTAAATACTTTAAATAAAAATATTAATAATAAAATTTAAGAACATATATTAAAAGTAATAATGTAAACTTGTTAAATTTTAAAATAAAGTTAATAAAATTTAATTTTTTTATTTTAATAAAATATATTAAAAATAAATTATAAATAAAATTAGAGAAATATTTGTATCACTTTTTTTCTGTTTCTCTCAATTAAATTAAATAAAAATTAAATAAGGTAACATAAAACTCTTTTCCTTTCCTTTTTCTTTCTTCCTCTCCTTTTGTCAAACCAAACGCAGCTCAGGACAATGACAACGTGCCCGTTTGGTTAGGCTTCAAAATCGATTTTTGTGCCTAAAATTGATTTTTAAATGAAATTACCCAAACGGCTGAAAAAGAACAAAAATCGATTCTGACGTATTACGCGCGTTTTTTCGGAAGCTGATGGAATGAGCTTTTACCAGAAGTTAATCAAAAAATGTTGGAGAAAATTACAAAAGAAGACCCACAAAAAAATTACAAATAAAGCACATAATTTAATAAAAATAAAATTAAACTCTCTTCCCTTCTCTCCTTTTTTTCCTTAATAAAATTTAAATTTTGTATTCTCAAAAAATTAATGTTTGATATTTAAGAATTAAATTATATAGTAATTTATATAATTAAAATTGATTCTGATTAAATTATTCAAATATTTTTAATTCTGTTAAAATTAATTTAAAAAAAAAGTATCCAAACATATTGCGTTATAACATAATTAATTATGATTAAAATCTATCACTTAATCAATTATTTTCATAATCTATTATACCCAACTGAAATCCAAACGGACCCAACAACGGACAGCACGGGTGGCCCCTACTTAGGACACCAACGACAAAATAAAATATAGTAGTTTATTTATACCAGAGGCTATAAAAAATCTCACTAATTATTTTTTGTTCGAATGGAAAAATCTCACTAATTTAATAAACGAAACCAATCTACGGCAAAATCTAAAACTTCTAACAACCTATTTGGAATATCATATTAATCAATTTTGAGATTCAAATAATTAATTTTTAAAAAAATGGCCAAAGAGTAAACAATGTTAATAATTAATTATTAAGTCACAGTTACGTTTTAAAATAAATTATAAAAATTATTTATAAATTTAATTTTACTGTTAAATAATATATTTTACTTCTTAACTAAAGTTTAATAAATTTAATAACATTAAATACAACTTCATTAATAATTTAATTTTAAAAATTATTATCTTTTATATAATTAAAATTAATTTTAATATTTAAACAGATTACGTTATAATATAATTAATTATAATTAAAATTAATTATATTAATTAATTATTTTTATAATTAATTATAACAAACTTAAATTCAAACAAATACTAAAACTATTATCTAATTTTGTAGTATTAAATTAGTAAGAGTCGGTGACCAAAAAGAAAACTGAGAAAGACTGCTTGACTCAGAAAACGGATTATGACTGCCGGAAAAAAACAGGAGGAGGAAAGCAACGCGGCTTCAACTTCCAAGTTCCCACTTCCCATTTTCCAACACCGTTGGCACTTTGGGAAAGTAGGAATGAAATGAAACCTTCAAACACTCCATCCACGACTTTCCTCTTACGGGCTTCAAAAATAATGAAATAAATAAACAACAAACATCCTACAGCAAACGCTTCATCTTCTTCCTTCTTCCCAGACCCAACCATGGATTCCTTAAAATTCTTCCATGGCTATGGCAAAGTAGGTGATCACCTCGAAGATCAGTCTTCTGTCCCTGCATCTCCCAAGCGCAATACCCTTGTCGCCGCCGTTTCTGTTTTGGCCATCCTCTTCCTCACTCTCACCATCGGAGTCACGCTCGGAGCTCTCATGCACTCATCCGATTCCGGACCACCGGAATCCCGATCGGCCCCTTCCGCCGTCAACACCGACATCGCCTCCTCCATCAGAACCGTCTGCAACGTCACGCACTTCCCGGCCTCCTGCTGCTCCAGTATTTCCTCCCTCACCGCTTCCCTCCAAAACCCTAACGACCCCGAATCCATTCTCAAGCTGTCTCTCCGTGTTTCCCACGACGAGCTTTCTAACCTGTCGTCCTCCCTCAGAAGCTTGGCTTCGACCTCGAACGCGTTGGCTCTCTCTGATTGTAAGGATCAGATCGATGACGCGCTGAGTCGACTCAACGACTCGGTGTTGGCGATGGATGTGGCTCCCGGCGACAAGGCGTTGACGGATGCGAAGATCAACGACATACAGACGTGGATCAGCGCGGCGTTGACGGATCAGGAAACGTGTTTGGATGGATTGGAGGAGACGGAGTCGGCGGAGCTGGGGGAGGTGAAGGGGAAGATGCAGAGGTCGAGGGAGTACACAAGCAACAGCTTAGCCATCGCTGCAAATATTCGCATCTTGCTGCAACGCTTCAATGTGCGCCTCCATTGAAAATTCTGTTGATAGAGCTTAAACAACACATAATGGTAACGTAATTGCGCTCTATATGTGAATTGTAGATTCTATTTTACTTCTGCATTCTAAATGGTCTCTATTATTGTCATATGAATATATATATATCAAAAACTTTTTTTTGGTACAGAAAATTTCTTCTTTTCTTGCGGCACCTCAACCATTTTGTGCGCAATCTAATGATGTCCCAGGGAAAATTGTCAATGGATGTTTTGTGTTGAATATGAATTCATGTAACTCTTATGTATGATTTAATACTGAATGTGATCCTTAAACAAACTCCCCCCCCCCCAAAAAAAAAAGATCCCATGCGACACTGTTTTATTAATTTGGTTATTATTTTTTGGTTGGGGGGGGGGGTTTGTTAGTTTTACATCTAACCTTGTCGTTACCTACGTATACAAATATGTCTAACACCATTTGGACGAAATTATTGACGAATTTAAAAATAGAAATGGAAAAGGAGATACAAGCCTGCAAGTAACCCATTTTTTTAAGACAGTCAAAGGCCACGCAAGCAACAAAAGATTAGGGATAAGTGGCCTGACTGAGTAAAGCCACTTCAAAATTTGGCGAGACATAAAGCCATTTTTGTGCCCAAATTGGTGGTCAACAACTCCTTCAATACCACCCTATTCATTTGACGGCCAAAAAACCAAAATAAGTACCATCCTATTTATTTGTTCTTTATATGTTTGGGACTTCGGAGGAAGGCGCATCCCATTTAACTTCATGATTTTCGGCCAAGAATGAATGTTATAGATTTTACGATATTAGTTAGTAATAATAAGGTAATAATTAGGGTTTATCGATTACCTAAGGTTAGGGTGGTCTGTGATGGTTTGGGTGAGAGTTAAAGATTCAAACCTTTTTCAGATTTAAAAAAAAATTACAAATTACATTAGTTTCTCAGCATTTTGATTAAGTTACATGGATGTTGGTAGGAAAAAAAGTTGCATGGATGAGTTTTTGTTTTAAAACTTTTTTTTTAAATGTATCAACTAATTTTTAGGAGCTGCATTAGCCCTAATTAATTCTGATCATTTGGAGCCAAACTTGTCAGTATAAGGCTTTTTCAATGGCGACATTGTCTGTATAAAAGTAATGTTGGATTTCTACAACGTTTTTATGGATGTTATAAAAATAACTAGTATGTCTGCCTGCTGTGCAAGGAGCCTAAAATAAATCATGTAACATTAGGCCGAATGATTTTTTTCAATTTCAACTTTTATAGACATGTGGATATGGATTATATTTCATATACGCGAATTATTTTTTTCAATTGATCTGAAATTTGTTGGCCAAGAAAATTGATTTGAAATTTAGTTTTTTTTTTTTAATTTGCAAGAAGAAAAAGTATACCTAGACTACCATGATAAGCCATACCTGTTCGGGCAATCTGTGACTTCTAGTCGCTTCGGCATGAAGGAGCTCCATTGAAAAGGCAAGAAAATAATTACATTTCAAAATAAATACTCATATTATATACGAAAAACTAACTCGTTAAAAATAACTCAAATGAGAACCAAGTACAATTTTTAAACAAAAGAATAATATAAAATTTTCTCAAACTTTTAGATACTCCCTTCGTTTAAAAATATATGACATTTTTAATCGAATCTCACTCCCAAATAAAATAGTTACTTACTTTTAAATTAATCATATCTTTTCATATTTACCCCTAATAAACACCCTATAATAAATATAAAGTCATTATCAATAGGGCACTTTTAAAAAATGCAATGATTACATCTAAAAAGACTAAAAATGCTTTACATTTTTAAACAGAGTAAGTATGTTAATTAATTTACTAGATGAAAAATTTTCAGATCATATGATCATAGCCGAGGAGGTAGAAGTTATAAGGGAAAATAACAATAAAATTTTTCTAAAATGTATAAATAATAATTTGGTGCCTCAAAATGTTATAATTTTCTTGAAATCTATAGAAATTTTTTTATTATTAATAAATTATCAAATTATCCTTGTTGAGAATAAATGATTAATAAGTTTTGTTTAAATATTCACAACAATGCAATAGCAAATGAGAAATTAATATGCAAAATTGTGATTTGCTGTTGTATTGTTGTGAATATAAAAGTGAAAGTTGTGAATATTTAAATAAAATTTGTGAATCACTTATCTTCAACAAGAATAATTTAATAATTTATATAAATTCATTAATGATAAAAAGGTCTATAAAAACTTTAGAAGAATTATGATATTTTGAAAAACTAAATTATCATTTATATATTTAAAAAAAATTATTATCATTTTTTCAAGTTATAATTTCAATTTCCCTGGATACATTAAAGCAGAAAAGAGATTAATTCCCCATAAATGGCACAGAGTTGTTCATTTCACACATTGAACCAAGCATATGGCAGGTCGGTAGCATTTCAACGACAAGATATCACATACTAGATATGTTTGATACAGTAAATATATAGTGGTCGAAGCCCACCAACATAGGGTACGCAACAGAGAAGAGAAAAAGCTAAGAGGTAGGTGATAGGGCCTAGACTCTAGAGGCTTCATTATTTGTCAATGTTGCAACAATCTTCTAAGAGTCTCCTCGTCTATATCCCTTATGTCACCGGAATCCATCAGCTCTATTAGCCTTTCACTGAGCTCTTCCACCTCGTTTTGTAGCTTCTTGATGTGACTGCAAGTTTCTTTCAAGATCTTCGACACTGATACCTGCACCACATACCCACAAACTCCTGTTTTATTAATGGCGGATTTTCCTGTTATAGAATAAACTTCTAGAGGAGCGATCGTTTACATGGTTTAGAAGTTCTACCTATAACCAAAAAAATCGAGGGCAACATTCTTGTCACCCCGTTATTCATAAGTAAATGATCCTTAAAATCATCAGGAGTGAACGGGCCCATGCTTTGTTCACAACTGAAATACGAGGAACTTTCACAAGAAAAAGTGAATTGATCTTGAGTTGCAGTGTTCTTTGATTAAAAAAAGCTACAGTTATGGTTGCAGCAGAATAAATGTTGATACGTCTTAGCAAATATCATACCCTTGAGTCAGTCCTTCGGTTCTGGCGTGGCAGAAGTGCTTGTAACCTTGACACAAGATCATCAATCTCATTCTCGTTCAAGTTTGAAGCTCCGCAGCTCTTTTGGCCTGACATGGCTCAAAGTTCTAGTTCTGGTGCTCTCAAGCTTCAGCCTTTTTGCTTCCACTGTGTTGTAGGAGCAACTTTCACTGATAAAAGCTGCTTAAATAGACAAGAGGGGGTGAGAGATTGTTTCAGTATCAAGTTTCGTGAAGACACAAATTAGTTAGAACAAGACAACTCCTTACAAACATTAACAATTTTAATTGTTTTGATTAGGCCCCATCGTCACAAATTTCTGCCTTTACATGGCCCCACAACAACGTAGGATTTTAAAGCCATATAAAGCCATGACCTTAACTTATTTCTGATACATTTATCAGGGAAGGACAACCTTAATATTTTGGATGTGAATTAATCTCTAAGAAGCTTAAATTACAGACGCAAACAGGACACCAAATGACACCCTCTTGTTTGTTTTGCGAGAAAATTAAGGTTGGGGGACGCAAGGCGCATGCCTTGTCTATTTGATTGCTTGCTGTTCAATGTTCCTTTGGAGAATTCATGTCCGTTGGTTCTGCTATATATTATCTTTTTGGATGTGGAGCAATTATTGGTTAAGCCATCAAAATCTGTTCCAATCTAGAGGGCAACAACTGATATTAAAAAATTCATGTCATTGATGGACAAACGATTAAATGATTAATGGCCCACGTTTGAAGTGTAAACTATTGCAACTTCAATAACCTTTTCCTTCTTGAGCTTTAAATATTTTCACTAATTTCGGCCAAAATTCCAAATTTTAAGTGACTAGCTAATTATTTTCAAGGCAATCTTAAACTTTAGGACTGGTGGGTAAAGGGGGCGAAAAATTGAAGAGCATGTCAGCAGATACCGAGACAGAGAACAAGCAAGACAAATCATTAACACTGAAAACAACATGCATATACAGTACAATAATCTCATTGAGAAGACGTTCTTTAAATCATTTATTTGAATAAATTCTGCATTGTTCGCAAGCACCACTTTGGTGGCTTTGGCAAGTCTTTGCTAATTAAAATCCAAAAGTCCAAATGAGGCTAAAGTAGTTTGTGCTAATTCTACCAGACTGCTCCAATTTCCAGCTCACTTTCTTTTATTCATTTTTATCATTTTCCAAAGAGTAGAGCTTGATGTGACGAACCATGCACCAGAACATGAATGACTAAACTACACAGACATGTGCATGAAGGCGAGCAGCAAGAAGATATGCTACTGGTCACGGAGGGACGAAGGAAATGGCAGGGACAAGACCAAATAAGTGAGCCTTTGGCGTTATTCACCAAACCTCATAATTGTTTGCCCCTGACTTTGCGGTAGCAATAAGTAAACTATTGTCTGATACAGAAGATGTAGCCACAGTGGTTCCATGTGGCGTTTCAAGATTGGACAAGCAGGATGGATATGTCATCCCATAGCCTCCGATGTGAACACTCTCCAGAAATATTTAAGTGGCCCTCGATGTCTTTGTATTTTGAGACACAGCCCAGCCCCCTGAGTTCTCTTTACCATCCTTTTTCGGTGATGTTAAGTTGACTAAGAACTCATAGCATGAACATGAATTAACTCAATGAGCAAAGTAAAATTCAGGGTTTCATAGTCAATCATACTGCACAGATTTGAATCCCCCTATTAGATACTAGGAGCTTGTGTCGGCAAATACTCTAAGATACGGATGTCTCTCCTTTATTAATTGTGAATCTGTAACTTCTAGTGCAGATATCAAGCAAGATATTGATATTTCATGCACAAAGTCAAGGTGGATCTCGAAGGTTCTGATTTCCACTAGCAGCCGCGGATGCTAGAGCCGCGTCTTTTAGTGATCAATTATCAAAAGGGGACGAGAGAGAGAGAGAGAAGCTATAGCAGTTTGTATAGGACAATTTTCATATATCCATGTCCTACACTGTTTGAAGATTCAAGGCCCAGTCTTGCTTCTAATCTTCACGTTGCTCATCTACACAAGTTGGAACGACTGTCAAATCCTATAACCAATATAGGAACATGCACGCTGCTTCTAGGCATGAACTTAATGGTAAAAATTCATGAAACATTTTAGAAACACCATCAGATCCCCATACATCTGCTGATATGAATAACTTGGGAAAAGACTTGCTGTCTTCAGTACCCCATATTAGCAACAGTAAGAGAATGTAGAGCATGAGAATCAATAGTGAATGCAACTTTCATAGAGAGATAGCTTGAGTGACCATTAAACATGAAGGCCTTGCACATGAGTGTTTTCCATGTCTCTCTCTCTCTCTCTCATTTTTTTTTTTGGCTATAGGGTGAGATAATTCTTAGTTCCGAAATAATAGGAGCTAAACATAATGCAAAAGCTATAGGACCTTGTTCTGGTAACCAAAGGTTCGATTAAGAAAAGACTGTGACATGTAATGGAGCTTCTAGCTTGATGCTTATAACCAAAATAATTAATGAGCTAGCTTTTCTTGTTCTTCTATCAAGTGGTCCTTTATGTTTGATGATAGTAACATGATGATACCAACCCGTGATGAATTCGAAGTCTGCTTTGTTCAAGGAAAACGAACGGTTTTATTGTTCTCCACTCTCCACTTCCAAAAGCAATCATCGGAAGACATTTTTCCTTGTTTAACTGTCATTTTCTGAGAAGGAGGACTTTTCAAAGGTTCCCAATAATTAGTAACGCGATCAACATCAAATCCCATATTTCAACCATATCTTCCTGCCTGCTAAATATTTCAGCATTTTATTAACTGTCATCTTCAACTATTTAAAACTTCACCTTCTCTTGGAAAGAAGGCTTCTGCTGTCAAATATCCAAGCCAGTGGCAAAATAACGCACTTGAAAAAAGAACTACCCCCTTCAATTTCTGTGTCAAATTTTTCCCAGCACCTTCATCAGTTTTCACTTTGAGTGTCTAATCCTCATCCATGAAGGTAGAGCTGTTGACCGCTATCAGTGGTTAGCTGTCTTTCTTATGAACATGTGATCATTTCAAAATGAGATTCAAAGAGGGATTTGCCAAATATAAATATATTTTTCTACGAATTTGATCCAGACAGCATCAATTACCTCCAGTATCTATGACAAAAGATGAACATAACAGTTCAATTGCTTCCCTGCAGCGACGTTATTGTGATAAGGAATCTGATACATTACTTATACAGCATGAGAGTTCAATTTAGCATTGACACGGTTAAAGAAAGCATTTAGTCAACAACTCCGAAACTAAAATCGGCGACTCGTTGACAGAATGAAGTGGAATCATTCATCAAGGTAAGAGAGTGCTAAGAAGAGGGCAGGCTTCAACCGACTCCATGCAGCCAGAGTCTGGGTCTGAGGTGACTGAGAAATGGAAAATTTGAACGGAGCACCAAGGGTGTCTTAGACTATACGCGACTCAGTAAAAACATGTTCCGTTACTTATTACTGCTGTGAGAAGTTATCACTCAAGACCACTCACACAATTTAGTATCAAACAAGAATAAAAAAAATTTCTGAAGCAGCATTGCAAGGTAAAATGAGTGATTCCAAAATAATTTTAGATGAAAAAAAAAAAGATTGTAACACCTTTATTTTTCTTTTTTAAAAAGACTTATAAACTAGCAAATGATTTTTTATAAAATATAAATGGTTATTTGTTTATTAATGATTGATTACTTGTTAAAATATAGTTTACGCTTGTCCCTTCTCATAAGGTCACAATCAAATTTTTTCATATTCTTAAACTTATCAATTAGCGAATAACTTTTTATTAAATACAAATGCGTACTTGTTAATTAATAAATAACTACTTATTAAAACATGATCTATGGTTGTCCTTCCCTACAAGCTACAACCAAGCTCTTTTCAAATTCTTAAATTTATCAATTAGTGAATGACTTTTTGTTAAATATAAATGGGTTGTTGTTAATCAACAAATGGTTACTTATTGAAATATGATTTACACTTGTCCTTTTCCACAATTAAATTCTTCCATATTCTTTTATTTTTTTGCCAAAAAAGATAGTCCATTTTAATTCTTCCATATTCTTGAACTTGTCAATCAGTGAATGACTTTTTGTTAAATATAAATGGGTACTTATTAATTAACGAACGATTACTTGTTAAAACATGATATACACTTGTTCATTCTCACAACGAAGCTCTTTTCATATTTTTAAACTTATCAATTAACAAATGACTTATTATTAAATACAAATTAATTTTTGTTAATTAACAAATAATTACTTGCTAAAATATGATTTACAATTTGTCCCACCCCCAATCAAGCTTTTTCAAATTTTTTTTAACAAAGCTTTTTCTAATTCTTAAACTTGTCAATTAGCAAATAACTTCTTGTTATAAATAGATGAATATTTGTTAATTAATGAATAATTACTTGTCAATTACAAAAAAATGTCAAGGATGTTATCATTTTTCCTATCTAAAATTACTTTCAAATCAATTCCTTAATGGTGTAATGATATTTTAAAATTTTTTAATCCTCTGGTGATATTAAATATTCTTATGATCCTTGAATGATACTTTTCTTACTATTTTTCTTTTACCTGCCAAAAACGATACTTTATTGTTCCGCATGAATGATTGTATAGTTTTTTATATATAGTTTTATATTATATTATCGGATCTTTAAAAACGAAATTAATAAATGTTTTTTCTGTAATATTATATAAACCTACGAATCACCAGGTACTTTAGTAGAATAATATTTCTTTGATAACAAAATTAAAGAAGTAGAATAATATTTCAATCGCCACGCTAATTTTCTATCATTCCGTTGCGTCTACTACATGTGAAATGATATGAATACGATCATTATCATATGAACTCTTGCAAAATTAAATATTAAATAGTTCCAAGCAGTTCAAGGTAGTTGTCAATTTTACATTTTATGTAAATGAAATATGAAAAACAAAATATATTGTTTATGAATTATGAATGTGAATATAATATGTTATAAATGTTACTATATAAGTATATTAATATCGAATATTGATATATACATGCATAAAGTCATTTCTTCACAGGAAAGCAACGGGAAATATTTCCTAGAAATTCAAAAGCCAGTGCAACATTTTGTTCGATTTTAATCTCCTTTACTGTTTTCTTCTCATGACATATGCTAACCATCATTTTTACGTCAGTTGTACTTGTTTGGTTTTCTATTAGCTAAAAATTAATTTGATGAAAGTTAATTGTTATAATGAAACTTATATTTAGATAATTTTTTAAAAAGTTAAGTTGATAAACTGAAAATTGTATGAATTATATATGGTAGAATGTACTTTTAAATGGATAATTATTAAAAAAAATTATTTTGTAATGATTTGTAAGTTTTGCTATGCAAATGTAATATATTAAAAATATTTAATAAATATAAAAAATTAAATAACATAAAATTTGATATGTTAAATATAAGAATAAAAAATATAAAATTTGATATGTTAAATTGTTCAAAATACATTAATACTGAAAATTAATATAATTATTTATTTATTTTATGATGTACAATTTGATCTCCAAGTGAATAGCACAAGTTAGAGATCTATTTAGAAGTCAAATACACAAAAGGATTGTTTTGACAAAATTTGTATAGATTTTTTATTGGTAACAAATTATACAATTATAGATACATTGATATAAAAGGGATGAATATAAATAAAGGGAAGAATTTTAACTAAAAATCAGGGGTGTTTTTTAATTGTTAGTAAATTTTAGAAAAATTTAAATTTTAATTTTAGTACAGTGAAACAATTTCAATAGTAAAAATATCAAAGTGCTATTCACTTATTAATTTTGTTCGAAATACAGAATCATTAGTTGTTAACTTTTTTACTTGTTAATTTATCAATAGGAGTTGTAAATTATATCAGTTTGTCAAAAAATAGTAATATCAATTATTAATTTACTAACTTTATTTATAAATTACAAGATCTATCAATAATTTACAACTGATGTTGATGCTTGTGATTGAACAACTGATGTTCAAATCTTATATGATTATTTACAGGTCAATTCATGTAATTTATAACTCATATTGATAAATTAACAAATGAAGTAAAAAATTTAACAACTAATAATTATGTATATTAGACAAAATTAACAAGTAAAAGATATTTTAGCTTTTTCACCGTTGAAATTATTTCATCTTCAATTCTTCTAAATTAAATTGAAGTTCTAAATTTTTTTGGAATCCACCAATAATTAAATCACATCTCTTATCTTTAGTTAAAATTCTCCATAAATATAGATACAGATAAATAGATATGTAAGCAAATATAAAATTATAAAATCTAGATGGCAAGACAAAATACTCTTCCCCATGTGGACGAAGGAGAAGCTGCTCTCTGATAGACATATGAATGATTGTGAGGAAAGATTCACAGTCCCAATTATACAGGGTAGAATGGGCAATATAAAATTAAGTATATATTTATTTATTAGGAAAACATAATGTTTGGTTCCTGTAGTTTTATAATGTTTTGCTTTTAGTTTGTATAATTTGTTTTCATTGTTATTAGTTCCTCTAGTTTTTGTCGTCCATAAATTTAGTCCCTCTTATCATTTAAGATGTTAATTTTGTTGAGGTATAATTAACACCATTAAATATTATGCTGAGGTGTTTAATTTTGTCCGGTTGGTACATGACTCAACATTTGTATTGAATAAAAAATAAAAAAAATAGACTAATTACATTGAGTTGGAATAAAAATAAGAACAAGTGTAATCGACCTCATTTGCGTGAAGACAGTTAGAGCACTCAACCAATAGACCCTTACAGTCGAAGCTGAGCTAATTGCTAAAGAGGTCATTAGAAAGAGCGAGCAAGTCGCTGGAACAGTGAAAGTGGATCCCACTATTCGACGGAGCTCCGTATTTCAGCCATTTTTGCTCACATTTTTTGCCCTAGTCGAAATCAAACAGAGGTTATGACCTTTATATTTTGTTTATAACATGTTCCAAATCGTGGACGTAGACTACGTTTTTTTCTATGTGCTTTCTAACTTTCATTCTTACAATCTCATTCTCATTCTCCCATTTTCCATTTATGAAGTCGCTTTTCTTCATTTCATTTCCATTATAGTTCAATATTTGGTGTATCACTGTCTTGGTTATTGTCAAATTTACTCCCTTGCTCTATTTTTGTGGTTGCTAATTTTTTTTGTCTCTATTTCTGGAAATAGCTTGCTGGTTTAAGTTTAAATATTAAGGTTTCATAATTTCTTGCAAGGTACAATATAGATATGGAGAATGAGATTTGTCACTAAACCGAAGGGGACGACCTTAGTGAAAGATGATAGCTAAAGGATAGAAGACAAGGTAGAAGACGACACAATCAGGTTCAAGAAGACGACTATTTGAAATGAGTTCGACATTCTAAATAATGGCTACTTAACTACTCAATTTTGGCGGTCTTTATTGCCCTACTCAATTCAATGTATCTTTTTTAAGTTCTTTATTACTCAGGTTTAGTCTATTCAGTTACTCTTGTGACTTGCCGTTATGAATCATCTTCTCCTTTGCCCTAGATGATAGATGAGAGAAACGAAGGACTAAATGTAATTAGTCTTTCTTTTTTTATTTTTTTTATTCAAAACAAATGCTGAGTCATGTGCTAATTGGACAAAACTAAACATTTTAGCATAATATTTAATAGTGTTAATTACACCTCAGCAAAATTAACATCGTTAGTGATAGGAGGGACTAACCTTATAGACGACAAAAACTATAGGAATTGATAACAACAAAAACAAACTGTGGGGACTAAAAGTAAAATATTATAAAATTATAAAGACCAAACATTATGATTTCCCTTATTTATTTCTCCCATTAAATACCCAACATCCCATCTTCAAATTAAAAAGCCTTTTCCAATAGCTTTTAGTGAATTTGCGTTTAAGGACTTCTTCAATAACATTTTACATCTTAAGAATGAAAAAGTGCTTTTTAAAAGTTAGATATGACTAATCTAAATGGCGCCTAATTGATCCCTTTAACATTCTTGTTTCAATTGGAGGGAGCACTTCTCATCCGGTGGCATTCATGTGGAGAGACCTACTCCTCAAAACTTGTTTTTTAAATGATGAGGTTAAAGAATGAATAGAACAGTGAAAGGAGTGGAGGGAAGTAAAGTGCAAAGGCAAGTACGGTGGAAGCAGGAGCAGAGGTTGGAGGAGTGCGGGGGAGCACATGTAGGTGGGCCACATATTATGATCCGTTCCTTTTCGCGGCGGTACAATTCGTACTTTGCCCTCTTGTCTCCAGCAAAGATTTCTTTATGATCTTACTCCCCTCATTACCCAACTACTGTTCACCCGCCCCATCTGCACCAACAACTCCTCACCCTACATCCCTTGACTGCTTCTCTTCTCTTCATGCTCTCGCCACTTCCCAATGCATCCTCGCTTTTGTGGTCTCCAACTCGTATCCTCCCATCTCTCTCATCCTCCAACAATAAACATTGTTTCATCATTAGCCCACTGGGCATTGGCAATGCTAATGTCACCTCAGCAGTTAAAATCCACATATTCTGCCAAGATGACCCCAAACCACCGCCCCCTCCCGCACATGCTTGTCTGAACATAAATTTTCAAATTTGCACACAATTGTTACGAGTATCTACGAATGGGTTATTGCCATTCATACGGTCTTGAACAAACTTTCACCTCCATGACGAGAAACACGAGACGGCAAGGATTAGCGACATGGGTGAATTATCCTTCTGGTGTACTTCTACAGAAGGTTAGATTTAGCTTTGAATTTTCTTTTCGCATGCCCTGATCCCATCCTCTCTTTCACAGGAGGGCATTCCAACTTGGTTTGTATATGATTGCTGCGCTGAAGCCCCAACAGCAGGATTATACATGACCGAGAAATTTACATGGCCAGCCGTTTGAAACCGCTTGAGTCAGCGACAAAACAACATACATCTAAAACAAACCGACCGTATGTCAAAACTTCATGTCAGGCTAAAATATGGCAGTTTCTCAGGAGATTGTTTTTGTGAATGCTGTTGAGTGCTAAAGCTCAATTCGTGATGTATCAGGTTGATGCTAACAGATTTATTGCAGCAACCCCGCTGTTAATTTCCCAAGATGGGCCTAGCTGTATGTCAAAGATTATTCAATGATTTGATTGTTGACAGAATAATGACATCCCTTGCATCAGATCTGAGCTGATGAAGCATATAATTTCGGGAAGTCATTGATGACTCAAATGGTTCCAGAAATTATGGGATGAGTCCTAATTATCATAATGATCATTTTTCAAATTTCACAAGCTAGATAACTAAAAAAGAGAAAACGATGGTTTGTCTATAAACCAGTGTTCATTATTCTACAAACACTCAGTAAGAAAATTCCTATATGATAACGTAAAACAAGAACAAAATGCCAGCAGCTCAACAACGTCCAAACGACCAAACCTCACCCAGCAATGGTGAAAGGATCTTTTAGCGGAGCAAGGGGACTTGCAGTCTCGTTTGGATTAAATAAACTTAACTGTCATTGACAGTATAATCTGATTGAATTTCTTCATGCTTGTTACATTAACATGTATGCTCAGATTTCTAAGCACGTTTATATTTCCAACAAGAAGTAAACCACACAACTTTCAATCCCTTCAGAAGGAAATAATAAGAAAAAAGAAGGCAAGATATTTTCATACATGAGGCTATCGAGATTCCAGCCTATTCCTACGTTCTTTTCTCTTTCTTTTTATTTTGTGAAAACACAAATATTGATACCTATATTTTCATCAGGTTTTGCTTTTAGTTTTTATAATTTTTTTTCGATGTTTTTAGTCCCTATAGGGACCTAAAGAACATACATCGGCCAGTCTTTCTCAACTACAGGGATTGAAAATACTTGAAAAAAATACAGGAATTAAAAACAAAAACCAATGAAACTATAAACACCGATTATTGTGTTTTCCTTTTTATTTTTGTACATTCTGCAGTTGGAGGATATTTAGAATAAGAGGGTAAAAGCCACCAGAGTTGTGAACATAAGATGAGTTAATATCTAGCATATTAAAAAAAGGAAGGAGAAAGCCAAGATGAGAAGAGATATCAATTACAATTCCGCAATGCTTCAATTAAATTTGTAAAAATGGTCATTGCAACACAACATGTACCAGTTCACATTATTTGCCTGTGCCTACATGATGCCAACATTTGACAAACCCTCATGCTAATTTAAGTGAAAAGGACCCAAAGAAACTAGAAAAAGGAAGGGAAAAAATGACCAACCTGTGAAACTTCTAAACCTGTATCTATGACTCTAAGTACGACATGAAATTTCCCCAAAAAGGAGGGCAGAGATTACCCATGAGCCAGAATCCATCTCCTTGAAAATTTAAGATTGTTAATTCCAATCAGAAGCGATTCACAAAGCACCAAAATCTTAGCATCCCATCACAGCACAATTATACACAAAGCTCCCTGATTGTCTGCTGGCCAGCAGGTTCCACTGAGGTTCGCCTTCCCCAGGGACCCAAGCATTCACTTCGATCGCCCTCACATTTAAATCCCGAGGCCCACCAATAACGATTAGCCTATCTCCACATGCACGAAAAGCTAACCCCCACCCATTCATTGAAGCTGCCCGCTCAGGTAGCCTTCCAATGGTGACCCATAAGTTCCTGACTTTATCATACTTCCTTACCTCCTGTAGAGCATAATCTGCAGCATACAATACATTATTTACAACTGCAATTAAAGGAGGAGCCTCAGCAGCAGCTGGTGCCTCAGCTATCCCAGCCCCTCCATATCGACCAGGGAACATATTGGGTATTTCACGCCATTTCCTTGTCTGCAAATCAAACTCCTCGCCAGAAGTCAACTGTCTTGAGTTGCCTACTCCAATCCCCCCGATGACATAAAATTTCCCATCCATAAATACGCCAGAGCACATTTTCCTTGCTCTGTTCATGTTTGGAAGAGTCTCCCAATTTCCAGTTTCTGAGTTATAAAGCTCAGCTGAACTTAAGATGTTGCCTCGTGGGTCACAACCACCAGCAAGTATAGCTATTTCACCGAGGCTTGCTGAACCAAACAAGCATCTAGGTGTATTCATTTCTTTAGCAGATGACCATGAGTTTGTCAAGATGCTGTATTTGTAAATAACAGGAGACATGATTTCCTTTCCAAACACCAAAAGTTCGGTACCAACAGCAAGTGACTCCTTATCTGAACACATAAAGCATTCATTGCAAGTCATTCTAGGCAAGCGCATCCATCGACCATTGTTCGGATCAAATGCCTCCCATTCAAGGAGATTGCAAGAGAAGTAAACCCAATGTTCTATAATACCAAACTGCCGCCTGAGCTTATACAGTTCTCCACTTCGAATGAGAGATCGAAAATTCTGATTCACTGAGGCAATTGAACCATAATCAGACCTTGAGCACCGAAGTAGACAGTTAATTGACATATCCCGCCCAAGTTGGTAAATCAGTGAGCTTGAATCTGACTGATCAGCTGCATGATTTTGGTCATTTATTTGGTTATTGGAAAGGGAAAGGTCACGCACTCTCAACCGTGTTTCTCCTTCCTCAGGAGCATCTGAACGTTTGCAAGACTTTCCTAACACCATTTGTTCTCCTTGATCTAGTCTGCGCTTGTTGCTTGAGAGCTCCATTATATGAACAGTGTTGTAAATCCACCTGCTCTCTTCCTCACATGAACTTGGTAACTCCCTTGCAACAAGAAAAGATGGACCCTCCAACATGCTGTTGGAAATTATTAATCTGCTCATAAGAAAAGCCTTGTCTCTTAGTTCTTACACCATCCAATAAAAAGGAAACATCAGTTTGTCAGCAGGACGACAGTGATATTACTCAGATGTATCAATACAGAAATGAATACAAGAGAATCATACCAGTTTTAAGCAATCACGAAAGATATGTATCAGTTTTATACGTTTCATAAAACACATTCAAATTTCATGTCAGCTAGAAAATCAAGAAAACCTAACATTTGGGAAATCCTCGCCAATAGAAGATTTAGATCGGGATAAAAGAAGGCATACAGAATCGATATAAATATTTGCACCCTCGATTCAACAAGGATTCGGCACAAAATTAACCGCACGCAGAGCATCAGAAAAACGATAAGGATTACAAAAACGAATAGGAGAGTCGACTTGGTGGTACCAGTCCAAGCATACAATAATCCGAATTGAAACGAAAAATCGACACAGATAGCCCTAAGCAGCAAAATTCCTCATAGGAGATCTCAGGAGCTGGGCCAACATAGGAGTCTCGGGAGAAAAGTGGGAATATTTTAAAAATTAATCTAATAAAACAAAAACTCGATCAAAATGACAACATGCAAATCAAAATCCAAAAGTCGCAAATTTTCAGCCTCCAACAAATTAGCCAGAAAAAAAGAAAGAAAGAAAGAAAGAAAGGAGATCGCTTATAATTCGCATTGGCGACAATCGCATACGCCTTTCCCCACTTTATCTTTCCAGAGATTGGAGCGAATCATGGCGGCGCATGAAAAGACCATCAATTAAACACACATAAAAAACGAAAAACAAAAGGGAGTCAGAAGACAAGCTTACAAATTACACAAAGAGGCAGGAAGAGCGAGCGGACTATCTGCAGGTTTCGACTCCGTCTGCAAACGACGCCCCAGCGCAGACACTAGAGAGCGATGTGCCTCACAAGGGTCTAGATTCTCTCTCTCCCTCCCTCCCTCCCTGTCCCTCTCTCCCTCTCTCTCTCTCCCCCCCTTCCCTTCAAGTTGTAATCGCAATTGGCTGCGAGAGAGTAATGCATATGTGTGAACACTGAATAGTATAATACTTATAAATGAATTTTTTTCAGGGAAAGAAGAAGAAGGTGGGGCCTACACTCGCCGTTTGCGATTGCGGCCATGGCTACCGAAACCGCTAACGCTACTCTCTGCACGTGTTACAAACTTATTCTTGCCTAGCTGTTTTCCCCGTTCCTTCCCTCTCCTTTTTTTTTCCCCTCTCTCCTGTCACTTAGCAAAATTATTTATTTCTTCTTGGCATGTTAATCTTACTTATTTAAGATTTAGATTCAATAATTATACTTAATATAAATATGGAATTGAATGTCTATACCATCTGAATCATTAAATTTATATTAATGATTAAGAAAAATTTACTTATTTGTTAATTTTAAATAAAAATAAATTTATAATCATAACCACATTCATTCAATATCTGTATTAAATATAATCTTTGAATTCAAATTTACTTATCTAATGTTTTTCCTACCTGTTTACTCAGTTGCTCCTGGCTGTCCAATGTCCAAAACCAATTAATTAAATACGAGTAATTATTTTATTTTTTTTTAAGAGGCAGGGCTTTTAACCCAAAATATATATACGCTACGAACAAATTGATTTTTTTTTAAAAAAAAGAAATAAAGGAGTGTCACGAGATCCGTGCCTCGCCCTCTCGCTGACAGCTAAATTTGGCAGCTCTCCTTTTGTTCTCGCGCGTCTTAACTTACGAAAATCCCACGCCCAGATCTTGCTTTCAAAGGTCCTTCAAAACCTGATATCTTATCTTAATTTATCTATAGCAATACCCAGGGCACGATTTCTGTGGGAGATTAGGTCAAGTCATAATCCTTATTGGAGTGATTAATTCTTTATTTCGAAATAAATATGTAAAAATGTATTATCCCCAATGTAATCTGTACGTTCATTCGATGATGGACCAAACTTTATTACTTCTGATTGTGTGAATCCTGTGGATTTAATTACAATAATTTTTTAAGAATCCATTTCAAAACTTTACAAGTTTAGCTGCCCACGTTCAATTAATCATGATTTGATCAAGTGAGAATTGGAGAATTGATATTCCTTCCGTTCGAAAATATAAAATATTTTTTTAAAAAGTTAAGTATTAAAAAATATTAAACATTTTTTATTTTTTAAAATATAATTATTATCTTTTTTTAATTTACTCTATTGAATAAATTATTTTATATTTATTTTAGAGTGAAATACTCCATTAAATAAAGATAAGAATAAAAATATAAATTAATTTAAAAATAGATAACTATTTTATTAAGAAAGTGAGATTTAATTAAAAATATTTTTTTTTTCAAACAAAAGGAGTATCTTTTAAGCACAATACTTTTTAATATAGTTAAAAGTTTAGATAAATTGAATTTTTTGAGATTCATCAACATCAAGATATACTTCTAAGTTTAAATAATACATATAAAAGTACTATAAATTATTCACTAACAATGACCTCACGTCAACAATGACATTTGATTTTATAAGTGTTATAAGTTATAAGCTAACTATTTATAAAATGAATCAATTTTTTTTTGAGTTTTAAGCAGTTTTTTATGGATGAAATAAATGTAGCATGTATTGTTGCAAGCCAAAAAAAAAATCAAAACACATAGATTCAATATGGTTTCTTCACATTACAACTTTAATTTCTTTACTGCATCTCTATTATATATAATAATTCTAAATCTTTTTTTTTTACCAGCATATAGTAATTCTAAGTCAGTCGGAACAAATTTTAATAGTACAAACTAGATTAAATTCTGTGCGTTACGTGAATTCATAATTAAAAAAATTAATGAAATAAATATCTTAAAAACTCATTGAAGAAGGCTATTTTATTTGAAATGATCTTTTGAAAATAAATGAGTTACAAAATTGCTCTGAAATAACATTTCAT